AATTCACACATAGCAATTAAAATTGAAACTACACAGCATACAAAGACAAATTATAATGTAACAATTAAAATTAACTTTAAACACAACCTATTCTATAAGACACATTGCCACAAACCGTGCTGAATTGGTTGAGACTCTGAAATATGGATTGAAAAGCTATCATAATAATGTGTTGTCAAAGTCTGTCATGGCCGGAATCACTGGGTTGTTATAGGTTTTTTGGGCTGTATGACCATGTTCTAGTAGCATTCTTTCCTGACGTTTCGCCTGCATCTATGGCAGGCTTCCTCAGACGTTGTGAGGTATGCAAGCAAAACATCAGAAGATAATTCTTCTAGAACATGGCCATACAGCCTGAAAAACCTACAACAACCGTGTAATAATAATAATAATAATAATTCTTATATCCCGCTTTTCTCCCCAAAATGGGACCCAAAGCAGCTTCCAACATATCAAAACCAGTATAAAATCAACAGCAGTTAAACACATATATAACATATGAAACATCAGTAAAATATAACATAAACATAAATAGCAAAATGTGATGCAGTATGTCCCACAAAAACAATGTTTTTGCAGTTCAATAAACCTTTTCCATGTTTTTATTATAGAACCAATTAAGAAATGACATTTATAATCCAGGAACAAAAATCGTGTTACATAGTGTAATAATAATAATAATAATAATAATAATAATAAAAAATAAGCCTCTCCTCCTGATCATAGAATTATAGACTCATAGAGTTGGAAGAGACGTCGTGGGCCATCCAGTCCAACCCCCTGCCAAGAAGCAGGAAAATCTCATTCAAAGCACCTCTGACAGATGACCATCCTGCTTCTGCTTAAAAGCCTCCAAAGAAGGAGCCTTCACCATACTCCAAGGCAGAGAGCTCCACTGCTGAACAGCTCTCACCATTAGGAAGTTCTTCCTGATGTTCAGGTGGAATCTCCTTTCCTGTAGTTTGAAGCCATTGCTCCGCATCCTAGCCTCCAGGGCAGGATGCAGAACAATGGTTTCAAACTAAAAGAAAGGAGATTCCACCTGAACATTAACTCCCACTGTTGAGCAGTGATTGAGGCGGGTTACAACATAGCTAAAAAACACATAATCATTATCATAAACATTACATAAAATAGACATATTAAATCTTCTTTCTACAGAATACATACATTAAAATACACAGAACAAATATTAAAATATAGTGAACACAAGATACGGTTTTAAAATTCATGAATGAATAAGTCTACCAGTATCACTACTTCTGCTATGGGATTTTCTTCCATTAAATATGTGTGTTTGGGGGGCAGGGAATATTAGTAGTAGTAGTAATAAATAGTAATAATAATAATAATAATAATAATAATAATAATAATAATAATAATAATATGATTATAATTATATGAAATAATATAATTATACTATTATTATTTTATTTATTTATTTATTTACTTTGCTTGTATACCGCAGTTTCTCAGCCCGCAGGCGACTCAACGCGGTTCACAACAAGAGCAAAAGTCAATGAAACAACATACAATATTTAAAACCATTAACAGCACAATATACAAAATAATGACACATCAATATAACACATTAGCATCTCATAACTAAAATCGTGATCCAATTCGTCATCCATAAATTCCGTTTCCTATATTCATCGTTTTGACATTTTCCCTTCTTAAAAATGTATATCCCCTTAATAGGATTAAAGATCTCAGTAGTAGAGAGATTTTGCAACATTACAAGAAAAGTTTTGCATCTCTGTGCTTTGGCAAGGGCTGCATCTATATTGTACAGTCAATGCAGTTTGGCACTATCATGGAATTATAGTGGTTTTAATTTTATATGGTCTGTAACCTTCTCTGCCAATAAAATAAAATAAAATAATAGTAATAATAATAAATGCTGGTGTCTTTCCAAACAACTCCCAGAAGTCCATAGCATTGAGTTATGGCCATGAAAGTGGTGTCAAGCTGGATTACAGTAGTTCTGTAGTACAAATGCACCCAATGTAAGGAGATCATTTTTGCATAGAGCCAACCATTTGAACTTGACATAAACTATTCAATTAAGAGGGGGTTTGTAACTCTGATTAAGTCACTGAAAGCTCTTGTTAGTGCAAAAAAGCAGTAGGATCATTTTATAAACAAAACAATTACCTAAATTTAAAAGTCAAGCAAGAGACTTATAAAATCATAGATGGGGCTTATTTCAATTGTTTGTCTGATCCAAAAAGCCTTGATTTTGCCATTTAATATGAAAGACATCTTTTTACTATACTACTGAATATAATGGGAGTTAAGCATCCACCAGTTTTGGTATCCTGAATGAAACCCAAGCAAATATCAAGGGTCTACTGTACCAAAGAATACATATATACAGAGTGTCCCCCAAAATATTGTGCACAACCCTGAATAACTAATGGCAGCTATGGTGATTTTTTAAAGACTAAGTAAATACATTTATAGAAAAAATGACTTAATGAAATGAAAGATAGCAGTCAGAATGAAAAGTTTATCAGTTTTCACCATTTTCCCTGAAATGAAGTGAATGGCTTTCCAGATTGGTTGTCAACCTGCATCATTATTATAAGATAATACTTGTTAATTATATAGCATTTTTTTTGGTGTCAATAAGATAAGACTTTATTTGTATTTTGCTTTATCTCCCCGAGGCGACTTAGGGTGGAATGGCATCTTGGCATCTAAGTTTGTATATTATAGATACAGTATTGTATAACAGCTGCTTTAGCTAACACTGCCTTGCATTTGACAACATACCAAAGGAAGCCCTTCCCATCACTCTGTCTGGTAGAAAACTTCTCTCTTTTTTGGTAACTAGACTATCTCTTCTTAGCTGCTATGGAAATTCCTGCTATTTTAGCAAGCTAAGCTTTGCAAAAAAAAAAAAAAGCTTAATAACTTTTGTGCACATATTTACAAAACATATCTAGCACATTTTAAATTGTTATAGCAACCAAAGGCTTTTGAATTGTTAATTAATAGAAGCAATACAAGTAAGTGATTCTTTTTCATTTTATTTCCTTTAAATTGATCTGTATTGATTAAAATGTGGTTTTGGCAAGCATATTGCCAGAATTAGGCTTATATATATATATATATATATATATATATATATATATATATAACCAAGGCAGAATAGAGGGGTAGCATGACTTCCCTGGAGCTATGCTACCCCTCTATTCTGCCTTGGTTAGACCACACCTGGAATAATCTCTTGCTTCTTTTATATATATATATATATATATATATATATATATATATATATAAAAGAAGCAAGAGATTATTCCAGGTGTGGTCTAACCAAGGCAGAATAGAGGGGTAGCATAACTCCAGGGAAGTCATGCTACCCCTCTATTCTGCCTTGGTTAGACCACACCTGAAATATTGTTTCCAATTCTGGGCACACAATTGAAGAGAGATATTGACAAGTTGGAATGTGTCCAGAGGAGGGCGACTAAAATGATCAAGGGTCTGGAGAACCTGTGAGGAGCGGCTTAAAGAGCTAGGCATGTTTAGCCTGAAGAAGAGAAGGCTGAAAGGAGACAGGATGGGCATGTATAAATATGTGAAGGGAAGTCATAGGGAGGAGGGAGCAAGCTTGTTTTCTGCTGCCCTGGAGATTAGGACGTGGAACAACGGCTTCAAACTACAAGAAAGGAGATTCCATCTGAACATGAGGAAGAACTTCCTGACAAAGTCATTCAGCAGTGGAACTCTCTGCCCCGGAGTGTGGTGGAGGCTCCTTCTTTGGAAGCTTTTAAACAGAGGCTGGATGCCCATCTGTTGGGGGTGCTTTGAATGCAATTTTCCTGCTTCTTGGCAGGGGGTTGGACTGGATGGCCCATGAGGTCTCTTCCAATTTTATGATTCTATGAGAACTAACTGTCTTGTGTATAAGGAAGTCCCTGTTTTATGGAGCAAATGTGTAGATATAAGGTTTTAAATGTAGAATATTCCCAGTATGATCGTAATAAGCTATCTATAGGGTGCTATGATACATTTCTTTTCAACACAATATGATCTATACATATGGAATAACCAAAGATATTTTCAATGGAATGCCCTATAGCCCTATAGTGTTTTAAATGAGATCACATTTCACTTTAATGAGAGCACGTTTCACACTATGGTCTGTTTTGTAACATCATGCCAGATTACCTTTCTTATCTAATTATTTAATGGTACACTTCTACAGTTTCCCAGATAATGATTTTTATAATTCTGACATAATTTCACAGGCAGGTTACTGTTGTGTCTTTTTCTTCACAAATGGATACATTTTGACAGCCATGTATTGTTTAAGCCTAGCCCGGAATTCATGCCTCATGTCTTGAAAAGGTCTTTCTTTGTGATTACTTAATGTTGCTATTGAGAGGCTAAGTTAAATGGAAATGTCTCAACTGTTTCCTGTACAAATGAAGTTAAAGTAAAATCCAGCTGATTTTGAGCTGATTTCATCCCCATGATAATTCTAAAAAAACAGGGTCTTGAGACTCTTGCAGTTTTAAGACAAAGGTGCAGCAGTTGCTGGGAACTTGTTTCAGGCATAAACTTCTGCTGTTGTAGAGATGTACTTCTAGTGTAATCTTTATCTGCTGGCTGATCTCTGAGAACACACACAGAACAATTTGCTAATAGAACCTCTCTACTGGCTAAGATCTGTCACCATAAAATCTAAAATGAGGTTAGAGGTAAGAAGCGAGAGAAAGCTATTTGGGGTCCAAGTCTTATCCCACCCAAGGACCCTGTTTAGTTTCAGCAAGACTAGCCCTAAGGAATTTCTTATATGTTGAGACTTAAAGGGTTATGGGTTCATCCCACCTTCAGCTGGCCTAATGTTGGCTCAACTAGCCCTTTAACACCTTTGCCAATTTGGTTTGAATTATATTTGCTTAGGATCACAGCTTCAGGTTTTCTTGCAATTTTTATACCATTTAAATAAAATAGTACTAAACTTTTCATATTTATTTTCTCCCAAGGTACTCCTGCTGTTAAAATTCTCATGCCTGCCCTATCACCAACAATGGAAGAAGGAAACATAGTGAAATGGCTGAAAAATGAAGGTGAATCTGATTTGTTTGAATATGATTTTTTGTGGACTGAGGCTATTGTCTAATGAAAACTACATATTGATTTAATATGTTGACATTCATTGTTTAGGGACAAGCCTTTTAATTGCAAAACATGCTGACATACATGCAGAATCCCTGACTTCATTTTTGAGAAATTTAGGAGAACGGATGAGGCGCCAGAGGACTGTAGACAAGTCAACATTGCTCCACTCTTTAAAAAACCCAACAATGATGTAAGCTACAGTGCAGTTGGGCTGGCCTCACAATTCCAAGGCCCGGAGTTTGGAGTGCTACTATGGTTTTAAAAGAAAAACAAAAGGACTTTTATGTTTACATTGATTTTTCTATAGAAAAGTAGTACTGAATTTGTGGCATATTTTGTATGTATATGTATATTTTTGAAATGATTTGCTTTTTTAAACACTTCAAGCCTCTTAATTTTATTCTCCTTGATTCTGCTTGATTGTGTAACATGCCTCAGTTATCAGGAAAGTATAGGCAGTCCCCAAGTTATAAACATCTGACTTACAAATGACTCATAGTTAAGAATGGGGGTGATAGAAAAGGAAGTGAGATAAATATACCTCTAGGGAAATTCATTCCTGAAAGAGTCATCATGTCAAAAAGGGGGCTCAACTAAAGCTTTATTACCAATCCTTGTTAGCTCTATTACCAGTCCTTGTTTCACGACAAACCAAATGTTTCAAATGTTTCCAGTTATCACAGGAACAGAAAGTGAGATGAAATCTGCTGAACAGGGGCACAGACAGCAAAACATACACCACAAGGGTGTTAACCATTCTCCCTCCCTCTCTCTCTCACACACATGCATATGGCTGGAGTTACACGTACAAATGTACCTGCTCTGAGTTACATACGCATTCATCTTAAGAACAAATCTACAGAACCTATTTTATTTGTAACTTGGGGATGGCCTGAGTATATAAATACTGGAAGTATAAAGTCTGATGACTTTAGTAAAGTTATTAGATATGGATTTTGGGACTTTCTGTTTTTTAAACTGATACTATTAATAGTTTTCCTTTCCTCAGTTATAATGGCTTTTTGATAAATTATGTGAGTTTCTTGGTTTCATCTCTAAATTAGGAAATAGTGATTTAAAAAAAAAAGATGGAAGAGCTGATTTTTCACATCATGATCTCTTAGGTCATCATTCATCACTCATTGCTCTCCCAAATTCTTGCCACATAAAATTCATTACGCTGTATTAAGGTATATTGAAATATTTAAATGCATATTGTTCGGGTATTCTTTTTAAAATGGCATGAATGAAAGAAAAAAATTACACTCTGAATCTGTGGAAACAGTATCAGAAATATCTTATATCTCTTAAGATAAGAGGACATTATATTAATTTTGGAGAAGTGCTGTGGAGGTATACGGATGAATGTGTCTGTTTTGTAGAACTTTGACTTTTTGAATTAATAAAATCTCTAAAATAAAATAGCTGAGATTCCCATCCATCCATCTTGTTTCTCTTATTAAAGTAACTCTGAGGAGGAGGGATGCAGAAATCATTTATTAAAGTTGATTTTTTCAATCGATAGATAATCCATTATTTCTTTCTTGAAGAGAAATATTTGTAGACATTTTTTCTTGCATGATGTTTGCATTGGAATGAAAGCACCCAGATTTACACATCACAAACTATTAATATCCTGTGTTTATGTTTTTACTTTAATGTAATAGAGGAAGTAAAAGACAAAGATGTGTATGTGTCATTTCAGTGTCATACGTATTGCACACTGACATAATTGCTGTGTTTAAGTGTTTCAAAAGAAAGCAAAAACAAATCCAATATAGGGCTTAGGTAATTTTTTGTTTTCCTTGGGTAAGACTGTTAAGAGATTTGCTTATATTTAAATGAAAACTTTATTCCATACAATTGTGTTATATAATCAAGCCTTTGTTACCACAGTTCTTGAAAGGCAAGATTTTGATCACAAAGCTTCTCCAGGTTCCCATTATAATCCAGTTTTGATGGCACGGATCAAGTCAATCTTCAGTGATCAAAGAATTTCATAGATCTGTTATAAGAAAGCAACAATATGAAATCTTGGTGGGTTTTTTTTAAAAAAAAAAACTAGTTTAAATTATTCAAATGTGGACATTTTGAAATGAAAGATGTCACCAAAAGAGTCACTTTCATAAGGACTATAAGATTGCCACTAGCAATAGTGGAATGTGCTTAGTATTTCATGCAGGAGTTTCCTACTCAAGTCCACTTTTCTTGGGAAGCTGGTGTTAGTAATGTGCACTTTGCATTCCAGAACTCATCTATGCATATCTTGGATATATCAAATCAAATGCTGATGCAAGTAAAATCAAAACATATCTTGTAGTAATGTATTAATCGTATATGCATAACATCACTGTTTCCCCTTTAATATTTTTTTCCCTTTAAATGTCTGGCTGTTTAGTACTGGTATTGAAAGTATATTTCTTTTTGAAAATACTAGTTTACTCTCTTTTGTCAGCTTCATTTAAAAACAATTGCACCAGGTTTGCAGACCTAAAAAGTATATAATGGTACTAACATTACTGTGTTTCTCCTTAGTGGTCTGAAATAAATTGATTAAAATTTTGAATAATATTTCCTTGTGCAGGAGACACAGTGAATGTTGGGGATGCGCTATGTGAAATTGAAACTGATAAAGCAGTGGTTACCATGGAGTCAAGTGATGATGGCATATTAGCTAAAATCATGGTAGGAAAAACTTTCCTAATCTATATTAGGGGTTTGATATGTAAATTTACTATTATGCTCTCTTTCTAATGATTTTCAAACTTCTGTTAGTATTGTATTGTGCATTATGAAAGTAGAAGGCTGTTGCCAAGCCGAGGAGTTTTTTTTGTCTCCAATAACTGTGATTTCCCTTTTTATTTTCATATGAAATAATATCAATCATTTTCTTTTATATGTTTGAATCAGTTGCTACATGTGCATTAGTGGATTTTTTTAAGTCACTAACACCACTGACAGAAAAGATACAATAAAAATGGATTTTAGAAAAGACTTAAGCAAATCATAGGCTCATCCTCATAGTTGTGTCTGCAGAGGCATATACAGCTTGGCAATAAGTCTGACTTGGAAACAATTAACTTGAAACACTAAGTAATTGTTTTGAACAGACTACTAATACAGTTAGATCTTCATATTTGTGGGTTTTACTTTGTGAATTACATTATTTTATTCTTATGGTCTCTCCAGATATCACTAGATCCTCTAGTGCAGTGGTTCTCAACCTTTGAGTCCCCAGATATTTTATCCTACAACTCCCAGAATTCCCAGCCAGTTTATCAGCTGTTAGAATTTCTGGGAGTTGAAGGCCAAAACATCTGGGGACCCACTGCTCTAGTGTGACATTGTGGTGAACTGCAGAAGTTGATCATAGAGTCGCATTGAAGGACCTCGGGTTTCTTAAAGAGGTGTTATCTTTTATTCCTTTTTTCTACTTTCACATGGGTCCTGCTCCCCTAAGTCCAGCGAACGAGAAGGACTGACTGTATACTCATTTCACAGTGTAACTGGTTTATTCCCAATGTGTATATTATTTAATTTAGGATGCATATGGGGGAGCCTAGTATAAAAACATAAGTATTCAGGGAGAATAATCAGAGTTAAAAAGTATGATAAACATAGAGTGGCAGCTGCCGTAGCTGTAGACATTAATGCATAGAAATTGAAAGTCAATCATACTTCCATATGTTCCATGCAAATTATATTTTCAATGATTTTTTTTATTCAGATGTACCTTTTAGGCCAATTGACATTAACACGTGATTGATTTGATAGTCTGATAAGTACTGTATATGCTCACTAAACAGTGACTCAGACGCAAGCTTTTTCTTTGAACACTAGCAGGCTTGCGTTTGGTAGAAATTGTGTTTCACGCTACATCATTGGTTTTAGATGGGTAATTAGTACTGCTTATTTTAGTGGTATGATGGGTTGTTGTATTGTAATGTTTTACAGACTGAAAATGTTGAAAGAAGTTTTTGCTGGGAGAAAAGTTTCTAATTGGTTTATTAGGAGACATTGAGAGAATGTGGGGGCATAAAAGAACAGAATAGAAAGCAGCTAACTAAGTTAAATTATATGCCGAAGCCCTTCTGTCAGCAGTTTTACACTGACTATATTTAAAACATGATCAAAAGGTGTGCTATACTTAGCTATTAAAATGCCATTAAGGCAATGTCATTGTAGGCAATCCCTTATGCGAATTCATATCACATCACTGAACCTGATATTGAACATGTAGTCTGCTAAAATGTCGTGCTTGAATGTGTCTTGCAAATGAGTTTCAAAGATAGACTTACTGTACGTGCTAAAGGGATACCTGATACCAGCCTGAGTAGTTAAGGGAGAAATCAAGTGAGAAAATGACTCCTTGAGTTATGGGATAATGGTGCTGCACGTTTTGTTAAGGCTTGACATCTTTGACAACTTTGCCTACACAGTCTTGGTAGTGTTTTTTTAAAAAAGTATAATAGGTGCTAACTCATGGGGAGAATGTCATCAATCCCGAAGAGCTATAATTGGACTTTTCTTGTAGCCAATTATTTGGTCTTTTGAAGAGAGCCATGTGGAACCATCTCAAGTATGAAACTAATTAGACTAGTTCACACAGCAAATAAGAAATCTGCTGGCTTGGCTTTCCTAGTAGCTGCTCTAATAGAAAAATAGAGTTTATATACCAAAAAATATGACTTTCTCTGTGTCCTAGGATTTTAAAACCAGTATGGTTTGACTTGGATGTCATACAGTGAAATCTCAGAGAATATTATTCCAAAAGAAGTCTTGTTGAGTTCAGTGGTATTAGTCCTTCATAAGGTTTCCCTCCACCAGAAATATCTCTAGAGTAGCATCTATGTGATGAAATAATAACCTGAAAACTAGATTCACCATACAGTGAGTTCTCATATTGGGTAATGTGAAATTTTAGTGTGTTTAGATATGCTGGTAGAGAAAATGTCGACAGTGAAAAATTCATGGATGCAATTTTAAAAATATGTCTTGAGTTTTTTTATTTCTTTGTCCACTCTCGACAATGTATAAGCATCCCGATTCGTTTCGCCCTATGTTTCAGGCACAGGAAGGAAGTAAAAGTGTGCGTTTGGGTACAATAATTGGCTTGCTGGTAGAAGAAGGTCAAGACTGGAAGCAAGTAGAAATACCAAGTGACATGGGTGAGGAACCCTCGTTGTCGGGACCACTGGCAGCAACTCCTGTCCCCATCCCATCACCTTCTGTAGCATCACTACATAAAGCAGAACAGCATCCTAAAAAACTGCAGTGAGTTTCTGATCTTTCTGAAGTATCCTTCCTCATCTATAAAAGCTACTTTTTGAAGTTCTTTCAGTGCTGATTTATATTTTATAGCTAAGCATTTAATTTGTTCATATTTTTGGAACTGCCTTTTGATGCCTTGAATCCCATTTTGGAGGAAAAGGCAGGATATAAATTTATCTCATAAGAAGATGTAGTAGTAGTAGTAGTAGTAGTAGTAGTAGTAGTAGTAGTAAAGATCTCACATTTTTCTATAATGTTGTGGGTTGATTTATTTGTTGCCCATTAACAAAATTGTTATAGAGAGAGAGAGAGAGAAAGAGAGAGAGAGAGAGAGAGAGAGTGAGCTATTTATCTAAAGTGTATATAGAATATAAACAAATACTGTGTTTGGACCTGGATCCCATTTCCAAGATATCTCATTTTTTATATATATGCAAATATCTCAAAATTTAAAAAAATCTGAAACTTTGTACTTCCAAGAATTTCAGATGTGTATTGTATAGAGGGATCTGTTTAAAGGCTATTTATCTATATATATTAAAGAAATCAATCTATAATTGGAAGGGTAGCTTAAATATGCAAGCTGCTTTACAATTGTTACTGAGGTATAATTTTCATATTTGGAAATTGATATTCATGTAGGATTGTCTTATGCTGAAAAGACCCTTTGTCCATCACTGACTGGCAGAGGTATTTTCTGATTGCATTTTTTATTTGTTAAGTGCATTTCCAATTATTAACTGTAAGTTTATGATAGCTATTTTTAATAGCTTTCTTTGAATATCAGAAATGACTAGTGTTCTCCCCCCCCCCTCTCCATGTGTGTCTGTTTTGATTTATGATCTATGATGTTTGTGAAAATTATTTTCAATTAAGGAAACATCTTAATACAAACAGAGTAGAGAAAAGAGAGACCATTATTCCAGGAATAAGGTCTACATTTAGAAACACAGGTCTTGGTTAAGGCTTTAGGCTGCTTATGTGACTGCATTCAAGTGTTAAGTTGGAGATACATATTGCTTCATATGCTGTTATTTTTATCCAGTCAGCTGAATGATGGTTAGGAAGGACTTCTGAAACATAGAACATTTTGACAGTTAATGTCTACATAAAGAGCTGTAATCAAAAATCAGTTTTTAGAATATATGATTAACAATCCCTTTATCAAAGTTGGCCTCCTTATATATAAGCTTTTAATGCAGGTTGATTCTCTTTCTTTAGGTTTCGCTTAAGTCCCGCTGCCCGAAACATTCTGGAGTCCCATGGACTTGATGCAAGCCGTTGCACGCCCTCAGGTCCTCGAGGGATTTTCACTAAAGAGTATGTTACTCATTCACCTTTTTCTCTTAATAATGAGGTTGGTGTCCATTGAAATGATTGTGGGAAGTTTCTTTGGCAAAAATTACAGTAATATTTAGAAGTTTTTGAGATGTTCACACTTGGAATTCAGTAACATTCTCTGGTGCCTTTAATGGAGGTTAGAACAACTTTGGCCAATGGAGAAAGCAGGATGTGCAGTCCCTGAAAAAGCAGAGATTTCATTTTTCTGCTACATTTTGTTCTAGTTGTAGGGATTAGGATTCTATGCTTTGAAAGAAGAGGTAAAAGCAATTACACTGGCGAGTCAGCTGATAAGAGAGATGGTTAATAGTAAGGGTTAGCTTCTTGCCAGTGCTGAACAACAGAAAACCAGGATATTTGTGTATGAAAACCAAGATATTTGTGTGTGTTACAATGTCATGAAGTGAAAATCCAGCTTGGAATTGGGTGTATTTCTGTTCACTATATTTAAATTAGAAGAGGGCTATTTGCCTATTGAAGAAGCCTAACTTGATTTCTCACAAATTCTTGCTTCAATTGGAATTAATGGAAGAACATTTGTTATTGGTAGATTATCATGTTTATCGAATTTCATGACCACAAAAGGTTCTTAATCATTTAGTATCTAATATTGAAGGCTCTGTTTAGAGGGAGATGGATGATGGCACCTCATGAGAATAGAGCTTTCTCTCTAATCTTTCTACATTTGGCATGCAAGTATTATACTTTGGTAAACTCCCAGGTGTGACTTGAAGAACTATACTGGGCCAGTAATAACTTTATAATAACTTTATTCTTGTACCCCACCACCATCTTCCCATAGGGACTTGGGGCAGCTTACACATGGCACCAAGTGCCAAAAAAAAAGAACATAAAATAATACACAATTTTAAAATACAGTTGAAAAAATGTATAGACATATTAAACGACAACTTAAAAACTCAATTATAAGAGTGCTCGTCAACCGATGGCAGTAAGCCAAGGCCTAGTTTAATGCCTAGTCTAATAAAATGCATTCATAGTATAGATTTTCATTTTGTTCCCATTGTGACATTATTTAGATAGAACAGCAAACTATATTGATGGAATTTCTTTTTTAATAGCACCTCATTATCAGAAAGTTTAATCATTATGTAAGTGTAACTGTAATGTGCGGTTTGTAACTAGATCATGACAGGTGGAAGCCCTCTAGGTTACAAAGACATCTAATTAACTTTTCCTTGTAGCCATGGAGATATGCCACAGATTTTAGAGGAGAGTGGAGGTTTGCATGCAGCTTAAGAGATGGCATTCCCTCTTTTCTCCACATTCCTTGCTCTTTTTATTTTGCATGGACATCTGATTTTATTACTTTTTAACAGAATCAGTGGTCATAAATCCATTAAAAAGACAAAGTAACAAGCTGCTTTATCATCATTATGAATTGCAATAAGTTATGAATACATATAGCTACTGTTTAACAATAAATTGGTGTAACTACTTTTAGTTTATTTTAGTAATCCACTGCATGTGTTTTATATGTGTGCAAACATATTGAATATACACGAATATTTTAGAAAATATTTTTAAGTAGCCTAAGGTTAGCATTCATGAAGATACAGTAATAGTAAAGTACATGCTTTGTCCTTTTTAAAATTCTCTCTTTTTTTATAATGGATTCACACTAAAAATATCATAACACTTTAATGCATAAGAAATTATTTAAAGTAATATCAAATGCTAGGCTGGTTAGAGGCAGTAGCCGCAGCTAATCAATAAGATAGCTGTTTCTCTGTGTGTATAAAACATGTTTATTGATTATTCTGTTCATCTTGCAAGGACTAAAATACAGAATGTTTAGAAACGTATCCACTGTTATACATTTTGGGCATTAACTATCAATAGCATAACATCAATATTATTGCCACATAGTAACCAAAATTAAAATAAATTATGTTCTCCTTAGTTGTTCCTTTTAAAACTTTCATATTATTGTTGATACAGTATAGAATGTACAACCACATTTGCACAGAAGATAGTGGGCATCAGGAACTGGTGTAGTTCTTCCATTGTCGACCAGTTTATAAAATAGATTAGAATAACTTTATTGTTATTGTACATTGTACAATGAAATTAAATGCCAACCCCAATCACATTATAATGCCTTTTAGTGTAGTAATAAAAGGTACCTTATACGATACTCAGATATAAGTGGGAAAAGTTTAATAATAAAATTACCCCTGAAAACCTGGTTGACATCCACAGTTGAATGATGGCTCTATAGAAGTCAAAACCAGCCTACTCAGCTTAGGAGGAAATGAAGGAGGAAACCAAGGGTGCCAAAATGGTGCTAGAGTTTCTCCACAGCACAAACCAGTTGTAATTTTCTGGGACCCAACAAGGACTCCCTGGATACAATCGCCCCAGGTCAGATCTCGAGGGGATCGGGAAGTGGATCTTTAGACTGAAAGCTTTAAGGTAGACCTGCACAACATACACCTCCCTAAAGAATTTTGTGTGACCTGAAAAGGCTGCTACCCTCCCCGATCCAGGCACTTTCCCTCTCAATCTTTCCTCTCTTTCTATCATCTCCCATCTTAAGTTCTTTTTGGCCACGTTGCCATTGGCTTACCAGCCCCATCCAGGCACCTGGTGCATTGCTGCTGCTCAGCTGGAGTGCTCTCAATATGATAATGGTGAGCTGACTGGAAAAGTCCTGCTAAGTGTTGGAGGGATCCCATTGCGAGGTCACTATCACGGTCGCCATCACCAAGTGACTGATGGAGATCAGTCAGACAGCTAGCTATAAGGGAAATGGACACAACCTGGCAGTCACTCAGCCATCTACAGGCTGTACTTTGCCAGCATCCACTGCTCTGAGAACCCTCTCAGCAGAGCTCTGACTTCTAGAGGGTACTTACGGGTCGACTGAGCTGGGCCTTGTGGCCCTAACAGACCATGGGACCCCTCCCCGTTTTCCTGTTCACAGCTGCATTAGCTTAGCAATCCCATCTGAGCAGTTGGTGCATCACTGTAGCTCAGGTGGAGATGCTCCCAATATTCCAGTGGTTTCAAAAGTGTTTTGTTTTAAACCAAAACGAATAGGAGCATGTTCCTGTATTGCAGTAAACCAGCAGTAGTGAATTTGGCATATGTATGATGGCCACCTGCTGTTTCCATTGTTTACAGATACATTCATGACCTCACTTCTGTTGCTAATGATCTTGGCTTTTTCTGCTTGGGAACCTAAAGGTAGCCTGATTCCTCCAGAACATCTTCAGACAATCATGTTCACACAGGAGAATAAACATATTACTTTTGACTTTTTTAAAAAAATTGAATAGAGATTATCCAGATCAGTGGGGTAGATGTGTTCATGCATTTGTGTGAGTTCAGTAGCTGTCCTAGCTGAACAAATAGTGATTTATTCTAAACTGGTAAACATGAAAATCTAGTTACTCAGCCTGTCATCCAAATGGTAACTGCTCTATGGCTTAGGCTATTTACCTTTAGTGTTTAGAGGATTTTACGGGATCTGTTTGAGACTACTGGCTTCTTCATTTTCAAACAAAATTGCTGTTTTCCCACTGAAAACTGCAGATGGCAGTAGGACACAATTTTCAGTGAAGATGAAAAATAACCAGCTTAATTCCTTAGAAAATATATTTCATAAATTAATAAAAATTTAAAAAATGATCTCAAGCCAAACACACACACACACACACACACACCAACAATTGCAAAGTCTGGTGCAAACTAGTTTAGAAACCATTAATATGGACTTTATAGGAGCATGTGTTTTTTGTCTTTCTATTGTAAGCTGTATTATGCGGGGGTTGATTTCTCTCATGTTAAAAGCAATTGAGAATAGGTCTCCTGTTTATATTGGAAATAGAGGACATGCTGACTGAATTAGAAGGAAATTTAATTAGATATATCATTTTTTGGTGTCCAAAATATTGAACTGAACCCCCAGAGCTTCCAGATAATCTGTCCAAAACTTACTGTAGTTATCACTGGAAAATAAAACATCTACGAGAAACATCTAATTAAAGAGGCATTGTAAAATTAACAATTTTCTATAACTTTTAGAAAAAAATAGGGTTGCATACGACATCAGCTATTACTTATGTGTTAATACTTCATTTAAATCAGTGGCAAAATCCCTATTGCTTTTAATGGCCCAGATCTGCTCCTATAATTATTAAGCACTGAATGACACAAATAAATTCATTCATAACTAGCAGCTATATATTACCCATGCAAGTCACAGGGGAAGCAATTAAATTTTATAGTGGATTGTGGCATCTAAAAGAGAGAGTGTGTGTGTCTGTGTTGTACATCTCTGCGTCTACATCTTCATGGCTGACAAATCATCTACCCAGCTTAATATTGCTATTATTTATTATTGCGTTTTTATATAGTGTTTTGAATATATTATGAAATTCCAGAACCTAATTATGGAATGAAAGAGCTGATAATGGTATTTCATGGTATAAAATTAACTAAAAGCATACTTTTCTCACATTTGAATCTGTGCAAATATAAAAAGCAGCAATAACAGACCTAGCATTATAAAATTGCTAATGGCTATGTTAAGCTGTCCATTCTTTCTGCTCATGACAGTTATGACTCTAATTTTTTTAAAAAAAATCAAATTTATATTATTTTATGCCCTTACTATATCATCCACTAAAATAGCCTTTGCTGTATAATATGAATATCTAGGAGACAGCAAAGCCTAGAGAAGACAATTATGCTGGGGAAAGTGGAAGGCAAAAGGAAGAGGGGCCGACCAAGGACAAGATGGATGGATGGCATCCTTGAAGTGACTGGACTGACCTTGAAGGAGCTGGGGGTGGTGACGGCCGACAGGGAGCTCTGACATGGACTGGTCCATGAGTTCACGAAGAGTCGGAGACGACTGAACGAATGAACAACAACATGAATATTATGATCACTTACATTCTTTTTGTGTTTGTTACTATCAAAGATATAACTGCCACTAAGAACATATTGGTGATTATACAGCTAGGTTTCATGACTGCCACTTCCAGGCTGGCTTGAATGAATGATTCCTGAGTGTACTTGTAGTAGGAAATGGGAATACTACAATTAGGAAAGGATTGCATCTGTAGCTCTATTCCTGTTTGCCACTGGTATTTGATATCAGAAGGTATACTGATGTGGACAGTGCAGTCTGTTTAGTTGTCATTGCTGATACTTGATGGTGGACAGATTTGTGGAGTGTTGTTTAAACCAGCTTATGATTTTCTTTCTCTGAAGTTTCCAACCAAGAACTTTTCTACATGACTTAGTTATGTCTTCTATAAAACAGAAGTTTTGGAAACTTTCTGGAGTGGTAACTGACAGCACTGTCATATTTTTGACTTTCTTTCTCTCTTCCACTCAGTCTTAATTTCTCAGCTGAGAAATTCATTGCCTTTGCTGTGTCATAGGTATATGTATTTTCAGGGAGGCAGTAAAATGATAAGATACTAAAGAAAATGTATGAAAAGCTAGATGATGCTTCACTATCACTCCAGTGTTAGAGCTTGATTTTGAATGTTTCAGAGTGAAAACACTATCACTTCTTGGACTGACAGCCTAGAATTTCAATCATCTTTTTTTTTTTTGTCGTGTCATGAGTGACTTGAGAAACTACAAGTTGCTTCTGGTGTGAGAGAATTGGCCGTCTGCAAGGACATTGCCCAGGGGATGCACGGATGTTTTGATGTTTTACCACCCTTGTGGGAGGCTTCTCTCTTGTCCCCGTATGGAAAGCTGGAGCTGCTAGAGGGAGCTCAGCCATGCTTTCCCCAGATTCGAACCTGCGACCTGTCAGTCTTCAGTCCTGCCAGCACAGGGGTTTAACCCACTCCAATGATCTATTAGTAATAATGAGATATCAGCAATCAGTCATACTTTATATATCAAGTTCACAGTGTCTTCATTTTGGTTTGACCATGAGGGGTGTTTGTAGATTAATGTATTTCATTTTCTTGAATCAGATATTTGTCTAAGATCTACTTGTATTTGTCTTTTAAATGACAGGGATGCCCTTATGCTTTTAGAGCAGAAACAGAAAGGAAAACCCTTGGAAGGAAAGCCAGCGGTTTCTTCTCTCCCTTCACAGCAAGTTGGAGTGCCTTTTACACCATCACTTGCTGGGACACCAGTTTCTGCTGCGCGTCCTCCAGCTCCATCGGTTTCTGTGCCAGGACGGCCTCCTTCCACGGTAATAAGCATGATAGGATTAACTTTTTTACTTGGACCTATAGATAAGTTCAAGTATTAACATCACATGCTAAGATTAGTTTAAAATGAGCGAAAGATAGTTGCCAAGGAAATTGTTGTGTTCCGTTTAAAATATTTTCTTGACTGAAGAGTTTTACATGACAAGAGGGTTTTTTAAAATATACATTTACATGTAACATGAAGTTTGCCCATATATTACTTACATGGGACATGCATATTCTTCTTTGAGTGCTATAGATACTGCCAGAATTCAGAAAATATTAGAGGTTTGTTGACATCTAATCTTGGTGCTGCAGTGTTCCAATACAATCTGATTTTTTATTTCCTCCTGGTTTAATAATGAGTGTTTTGCAGCATTCAGAGTGATTACTTGTTACTTTGGCTGTGCTATCTTTTTAATTTTATACTTTTATTACTCTTAATCTTAAATTTTGTTTCCTTAATGTTTAGCTGTAATTCTATTATGTCATCGCATTTATTTATTTATTTAGAGCATTTCTTTCCCGTCCTTCTCAACCCCCGAAGGGGGACTCGACGGCTTACAATTGGCAGTCATTAGATGCCAACAAAGAAACAGAGCACATCAATTAACATGAACAAATCAACAGCTATAAACATACATTAAAAAGGCAATAAAATACATTACAAATATTGGCACTTAAAATATGAGCACAACCACTTTGATGTGGTTGGATATTTTTTTTTAATTTGGGGAGTTTTGCTTGTTTTGGTTCTGTTAGCACATTATGGCACTGAATGTTTGCAGTTGCTTGTTGTAAACTGCCCTGAGTCTCCATGGGGAGGTGTGTGTGTGTGTGTGGGGGGGGGGGGATATCAATAAATTATTATTATTATTTCAAATTAAACTTCCCAGAATCCCTCAGCTGACATGGTCTGATAAAACAAGTGCAGAGAAAAACAGGAAGAAAATATAATGCTGAATAGACAGTGAAAAGAGTTATATTAAAATGTTCCTTAGTTAAAGTAAATTTTCAAAATTTGTCAATATTTTATCTTGAAGGAAGTAAAAGGACTTTCTTCCTTCTAGATCAATACAGACAGTTTTCTCCAGTTGATGATGGGCCATGTAGTTTTTATAACACATAATATATTTTTATAGCACTGTCTATGAAAGAAAAAGACATTCATTACTAATGTCAGTGATATAATTACCTAACCTTGTCTCTCTTTTTTTGTTATTTATAACAACTGTAAAAAGTGATGGTTCCTGATTCAGTACCAAGATAGCAAAAGTTTATGAGAGATACTCTTGCCTAATGGTGTGCCATTGAAATTTTTTAAGTTTGGAAACTTCTGGAACTTTCAAGGCTAAGTTTTTAAAAGGTCAAGGCTCCAAGCTGCGAGTGCATGAACAAGGGAAATGATATGGGGTTCAGATCTTTTCACAAGTTGCTCCTGACACGACAAAAAACAAAAACAAAAAACTACATTTAGTTCTAAGGCAGCAGCATCTGCAGCTGGGGAAAAGGTCCACACTCCTAGGTTTTTTGCAGTGTACAAAATGAAACCAAAATACCAGCCTCAACTTGAATAGAATTGGGAGCATATCTAGTCAGATATATCAGGAGAAAGTCTGTTTATTTTGAACCTTGATGACTGTTAGCATAACGATGATTTTGTAACGTCCTTTAACACCTTTTCTCAGCTATATCTAGAGGAGGGCTTACTGTAAGTTATGCAGTCTTAGTATGATGTAACTTCCTTTCATAGTGCTCCTTTTCACCCTTGATTACCTCTTAGCTGCTTCGTGCATTTTTCCATTTCCCAACCAGAATGGAGAGGACTCAGTGAATGAGTTCACTTCTTTGTAGTACCTTCTATTGCCACAAAGTGAAAAGGGGGTGAGGAGGGAGGTAAAAGTAGCAGGTATACTCTCTCCACAACAAAAATGAGAAGCTCAAAAGAACAGGGACCAGCAACCTAGTCATAAAAATGAATACACAAGTTAAATAGGGATTAAGGGTGTCACCCCCAAAATGCAGGTCTTTTCTTTCACCCAGTGATCTAAGGCAGAGAAATCCTCTATAAGTAACAGGGAATTTTTTAAGTATATGCAGTTTCCCCTTCCAATTTAGAGCACTATTGGAATGTTTTCTTTATTGTCGATATGGTTTGCCTAAATGAGATCAACCTAAATTTCGCTATGAATATTTTTGAAGTTAAAAGACAGTCTCCTATCACAAACATTTTTAATCTTTGCTTAATTTACTATCTAAAATATGCTTTCTGTTACAGGGCACATTCACTGAGGTCCCTGCTAGCAACATTAGAAGAGTTATTGCTAAGAGATTAACAGAATCGAAAACCACTGTCCCGCACGCATATGCAACCGCTGATTGTGACCTTGGTGCGGTTCTGAAGCTAAGGCAAGAGCTGGCAAAAGGTGAAACTATTACTATTTTAACTGTGTTGTCCCATGGAATACATGGTGTTAAGTAGTCCTGTCCTATATTTGGTCTGCTCTGACACCTCATCTATTCTGTGTCAGATTCTACATTCTGTCTAGGCTCTGGTGATGATCAAACAATCTCTCCTTGATATCTCAATTCTGCTTCTGTTGTCACAATTTCTGTAAGAATTGGGAGTCATGAATCCTTGTGATTACTCAGTATCTTTAATAGAAGTAATTAAATTGCTTTCCTGAGACTATTATTTAAAGACACTGTTTAAAAAGGGCTTGGAACTTGAAAATGGGCAGTTAAGTTCCCTCCCGTGTACACAAGTTAGAGCTATAGCTGGAATGAATGAATGTATTGATACCTGAAATTCTGTAAGTATCTGGATAGCTATAATACTTTGGTGATTTTTCAAACTTTGTTTTTCAGGTTTGGGTAAGTCTTTCTATTGTTAGGTTCCAACTGGAATATACCTATTGAAACAATGACATTTATATGCCACATATATTCATGTGTAAGATGACTTCATATATATGTCAAGGGCAAGTTTTGATATGACTTGTGGATATGTCAAGGGTTACTCCACAGAAAGGGGAAAGTGCCATTGTCTCATCAGTGCATCAGCTCCTTTGGGTGCTGCCACCATTTTCTCACCAAGGCATTCAGAAAGGCCAGAAGTAGTGTGGTGGTGGAGAGAGTATAGGATTTGGTTCATTTTTAAAGCTCTACTGGGACTGACTTAAGTTTTCACCTATTGCCATTCTATTCAGTAACAAAGAAAATGATAGTTCCTTTTAGATAAGAGGTAAGGTACTGTACTGTGGATACATCAAGCCAGCTTTTTGAGTCAGCTTTAATTAATTTTTTTAGACTTCTACATGAGTATATATTGTAAATATTTATTCACCATTCAATAGTTGAATCTGTAGATCTACTCACATGGCTACCAGCAATTGGATTCAAGTGTTAGAGCTGAAGAGAAGAACAGGATAGTTTATCTTGAATTTATGGTACATTTCAGAGCTGTAGCACAAAATAAAGGTTAAAGACAAGCCATGCCAGTGAACTGATTGAAACCACATCTTTTTTGGCATGCAAGGAGAATATTGATGGCGGAGGCCTTTTACATGGAGGTTTTTTTTGGTGACAATTTGAAAATGGGAGGAAATCTCCAAAGATTTTGATTTCAGAGCCTCCAGGCATTCCACTAGGCTGCACAAGTGAACCTGTAGAATGATGAATACAAATTGTACAAACCCCACAAATGTGCCACAAATGCTTACTGTTGTGTGCCTTCAAGCCTTTTAAATTTATGGCAACACTAAGGCAAACCTACCACAGGATTTTCTTCACAAGGTTTGTTCAGAGGAAGGATGGTTGCATTTGTCATCCTTTGAGGCTGAGAGAATGTAACTTGCTCAGGATCACTTAGTGGGTTTCCATGGCACAGGAGAGATTCCAATCCTTGTCCCCAGGGTCAAAGTCCAGTGCTCAAATCACTGTACTACACTGGCTCCCTCTTTACCAGAGATTCTATATGTTTTGAAGGTAAAGATGGGCTCAAAACCAACCTTAAAAACTCTGGCATAGACACTGAAAACTGGGAAGCCCTGGCCCTTGAGCGCTCCAGTTGGAGGTCAGCTGTGACCAGCAGTGCTGCAGAATTTGAAGAGGCACGAATGGAGGGCGAAAGAGAGAAACATGCCAAGAGGAAGGTGTGTCAAGCCAACCCCAACTGGGACCGCCTTCCACCTGGAAACCGATGCCCTCACTGTGGGAGAAGATGCAGATCAAGAATAGGGCTCCACAGTCACCTACAGACTCACCACCAGGATACTACACTTGGAGGACCATCATCCTCGGACTACGAGGGATCGCCTAAGTAAAAATAAGAAATAGGTAGAATCCTGTCTGTTGACCTGTTCTGAATCATGAATTAGCACAACTGTAGATCTCATTCATTCAATGTGCTTGCTCCAGCAGGGCTATCAATTGGATTAAAAGCCATAATCTTCTATCAGAAAAAACCAGTGTATTTTGCTTCAGACCACTAATCTGAAAAAGAACAACTTTTAAGTATGAAATTGTTGAATGCCCTTCTCTCTGTACCATTCTTTGGTACCCTCTCAAGAAGTTTTCTTTTTATACATTTTCTACTATGTAGGTATCTGATGCATTTCCACTCCCTATCTTAGCAGCCTACTTACGCGAAAGTGCATTGTTGTGCAGTTACAGGTGTTACTACTGCTATCCCATATCTCTGATCTAAGCAGTATTGATCCAAATTAGATATTTATTAAAGAGGCGATATAACTAGGAAAACTCAGAGTGCATTTTCTGATAGTAGAACTTCCATCAATGGATCCTGGATGAAACTATTCCCATCCCTGCCCCTGTGCATTTTCAATAGAATATTGTTCTTCCCATCGGCCCTTCCTGTCACTAAGAACCTTGTTCCCCATCTAGATAATTAGGTTGTACAGTGTCTGTATGGTGGGAAATCACATCCTCCTGGATATGCTGATAGATCGTCTTCCAGCAGTGGATTTGCATTATTGGGTCTTGCTTTCTGTCTTCTGGACTTCAGCTGTAATTTGGATAATTTTCTTTCCTTTCTGATGTATGCTTGTTTGTGATGTTGCTTGCAAGACATCATTCAGCACTCATTTTTGTTAAATTGGTTTTGATGGCCAATGGGGTCATCCAGATGTCATGTCATGGGCAAAGGATTTTGATTTAATGGAAGTGTTGCCTTTGGTGGAAATATATGCTGCTTTGATACTGCTATATTCCCAACCATAAAAAGAACCCACTAGTTTCAGTATAAACCTCCTCACATGAATGGCTTTGCATTTTGGATTTCAAGGTTACCTTTTAATTAGCAACTTGGCAGGTGCAGAGGCCAAATTCTTCCATTAGCATTCTAAGCAGGTACAGTTTATTCAAATGGTAATTCTGATTTTCTCGTACAGAACCAACACTATGTACTGAGCTTTGTGCTTTTTGTTGAGCTCCTGTCATTTGCTGGCATTACAGATTTACCATAGAAATGTAAAGAATAAGAAAAATCCAGTCTTTTAGATTTCTAACAAGACACTTTGGAGCTTCTCATAGCTATTTATAGTTCATAAATGTGGTATATTTTTCTTGCTGCTAGTGTGCTCTACCTTATTAGGGCAAACTGGTAGAAATATTAAGTAGCATAACAAAAGGTCATGGGGTAGTGGAAAACTAAAGGTAGTATGGGTTTCATGTATTCTGTTATTCTACTACTGTTTGTGAGAGATCTTGAGTAAAGTAGATAGAAACTTGGCCAAGAGTGAGCTATTGTAAATTTAATATACTGTCTTCCCTCCATATCAATGGATTCTGCATCCATGGATGCAACCACCTATGGTTTGAAAATATTTAGAAAATGAATTAACAAAACTAAACCTTTTTCAAAAACTTTATATAAGGGATTCTATTTTACTATGTGGTTGTATATAATGGGATTTGAGCATCCACAGATTTTGGTGTGTACAGGCAGTCCTAGGACCAAACCTCTGTGGATACCAAGGAACCATTGCAATGTAATTGGGAGCATTAATTGTTATATTTTTGTTATTTTGTTTTGAAAGATATTGTCTTTTTGAAATGTAGAGGGAAATATTTTTGAAGAAAATTATAGATTTAAACAGGAAAATACTATTTACAGTGTAAGGCAGACCAGAAGCTGATTGGAAAAGATGTAACTCTTTTATATAAATGAAAAATAATCGACTTCACTAATGAAATATTATATACACCAAACAGTTCTATAAATTGCCTAATGTATCATTTTATAGAATATATTATCCGTGATATCCAAGATTCAGAAGTTTCAAAGGTGTGCTGATCTTCTCATCATTGTTGTTGGCATCATTGTTGTCAGCTAGGAGGTTGAGCCCAAATATTCTGAGGGAGGGGGTTCTAATTGCATTTCATCTATCCATTTCTAGGGGCCGTACATCTATCACTTCACCAAGATGGTTTCTTTCCCAACATCTGGTCTAAAATTAATATTGAATCAGCCCAACTAATCAACAGTCTCTGGTTTTGAGAAATCAGCCACTTACTCGAGTGCCTTGGACACATGTTCTGATATGCTCTGATTCTCCTGTATCAAAAAGACAGAAGATTAGAAGTTGGCCATACTATCAAACTTCCAGGCTATAGTCTAACCCAGGGGTTCTCAACTTGTGGGTCCCCAGATGTTTTGGCCTTGAATCTCAGAAATCCTAACAATTGGTAAACTGGCTAGGATTTCTGGGCGTTTTAGGCCAAAACACCTGGGGACCCACAGGTTGAGAACCACTGATCTAATCTAAGTATGCCCTTGGGTTTGGACATGCACATTTTATCCTTTTATCCATCAGTGCAATTCTGTTAGCAGTGGACTTGTTGCAGTAGAAGTATAATCCATTGTAAACTTGCTTTCTGCATGTAGCATGTTTGGTTTAGACCATAGATTGGTTTGGATAATAGCCATAGTAATTATAAGAAGAAATTATACTTCTTTTCTTACAGTTCTTCTGTAGATTTATTTATATGTTATCAAATGACACAGTTCTGAAGCCTTTGTGCTGCATATTTGTTTTAGAAGCCAAAGGGTCAGTAAAGCAGTTGTAAAGTATGCAAGGAGAGTACTTGATCTATGATGAGAAATAACTTGTCACATGCCTTCAGGATGGGTCCGTAAATAACCCAAAGATGGACAGCATCGGAGATCTGTCCTTTCTCCAAAAACTGCATCTTGTTATCCCAGTTTTGTCATGAATGTTATGATTACCGTAGACTAAAAAAAGCCAGTGACTGATTTCCCCTTCAGTAGGAGGAAGGAGGGTTGACATACTGCCTAAACAGTATGTATGTGCGCCAGAAAAAAAATCTAAACCTCTCAAAGTTACTGTACACCTTTGGGCCAAATTGATGGCCGGGGATCATGGTCTTACGTTGCTTAAATATTTTAGACTTTCAGCCGTGCAGCAGAGTTCCTACCTGCCCTGCTAATATAGTTAACCCAATTTTAGGATTTGCTGATGCCTTCATCTCAGTAATCTGAACAGCATAAAGCCCCCAAGGTACATCACACAATGACATGTTTTGTGTTTACAGTTGAACAGATATACAAGATAATCCTTTTGATTATTCCAGTTCATGCTTCATAGAACATCAAAGGAACAATGAAATTTGTATTTACAGTGTCTTTTTTTGGAGGGCTTATTTTTAGAACTACAGTAGACCTTTGTATTAACAATAAAGCAGTTTGTTATATGACATATACATTGCCATTCATTTGGTGATGACTTAATACATGATAAAGCTATGGATAATGTTATTGTTACCACAGATACTTGCATTTAGTTAGACAAATATGTAGACAAAATTGTTATTATTATGCTGTCTGATTCTTCTGTGCTGTTACATAGCAGAGTTTGCATATCACCTGTGTTTCAATAGATAGGTATATGATATGAATTTCTGTTACATATTTTCCAGGGACATTTATCACATCTAAAATGCTGTTATGTTCTGAGAATTAAATTAAGAGGAGTGCTTATGTTAATACATTTGTTTAGAATTTCTTCTAAATTCTGTCTATAATACATTGAAGCCAGCCATTCTAAAGACCTGTTTGGTTTTAACCCTAGTGTGGTAAATGACCCATAAAACTTGTCATAACAGTATTACTTATTCAAACCATCAACATCATCCTCTGTTTTACACTGTACTACCAGTCTTTCAGTTTCTTAAACCAGAATACCAATTTTAAGATAAGCAATTTTAAGATAAGCAAACATTTAATCTCATTGTCCATAGAGCTACATTGCTGTGAGGGAGAAGTGGATAACAAATACATTTTATTATTATTATGATTATCATTCTCATCATGATACCTTATTTTCCAATTTGATCTTATAACCCAGTGCATGAATACTTATATGGACCAAGCTCGCAACTGTTAACAGATAACTTTTTCATCAGCCAACCCCATTGTGAAATTGTCTGCTGGAAGGCAGCACTAAAACTAATCTCTTCTAGCAGGCCTTTTAATTATACTGGCTTTTAAGTTATGAGTTTTTAAATTATCCATCAGTCCTATCCTCAAAATTGATTTGCGTTGTCTGCCCACCTGTGTCCAGAAACCAATTATAATTGCAGGTTCGTTGGTTGTTTGTTCAATGGTTGCTCTTATATTCTGTTATAATGTTATAATGTTTTAATGTTTTATTCTGTTTTATACTGTTGTTTATGTATTTTAGTGTCTTATATTTTAACTATGTTGATCAAGCTCGTCCCCATGTAAGCCATCCCAAGAACCTCCGGGGAGATGGAGGCAGGGTACAAAAATAAAGTAGTAGTAGTAGTAGTAGTTGTTATTATTATTATTATTATTATTATTATTACTTTTTTAACTGATTGTGTATTTTTAATTGGTATATATCTGTGTCTGTTTCTATATTTTATGTTCCCCACCTTGGTCTGTAAGGAGAGGTGGGTAAGAAATAACAATATGTACCTCATACAACTGGGACAAATAACAATGTGAGGCTTCTTGAGTTCTGCCAACTAATCAAGCTTCTTGAGTTCTGCCAACTAATTATGTCCCTTTTCCTAGCAGTGTGGTATCTGGGTTGAAAAGAGTCTCTTGATTTATCTGACATTTAATTGCCACATACATGTATACTTGTCAAAGGTGGGAGGAAGTATGATTGAGAAGATTTGATGTTTCCATAATGAGATATGAGATATGACCTATGCTAAATTGATATTTTAAACAGGTTGAGATTGAGGTGCTAAACACTACACTAGGCCTGTATTGGGATGACTATTTCAGCTGATGTGTTATTGTGTAAAGATGCTGCATAATTCAGAGACTGGTGAACATCAGAAGGGAGAAATGGAAATTCCAACAGTACTATTACAAGGACATATTAGTCACCATTATCTCAAACTTCATTGTTTAAAGTGATATTTATCTCCAATAAAGTGTTATAAACCCTTCCTCCTTTTCCCTTCATACTTACTATTATCATAATGGTGGTTTTCCATCTTCTTTCAGCTGTTCTTAATTCCCTCTCTTTTTGAAAATACTACTTAGTTTTAAAGAATATGTGCCCTCCTTAATGTGGTCTCAATTAATAGCATCTCATTTCCAAATTGTTCCTTCCCTCTAGTAATGGGAGAAATGTGTTCCGTGTTTTAAATTTATGGTACTATAAAAAACAATCCTACTGTGAAGATAAGTAATTTAATTATTAAAACTTTTTTATAATAGGGTTTTCCAAAAGGTCATTCTGCAGTTTTGCCAATGTCTATCTTAACATTTTCTTGTTATGCATTGTTATCTTGAAACCATGCAACTTAATTTCTCTTTCTTTCCCCTGCAGATGATATTAAAGTGTCAGTAAATGATTTCATTATTAAAGCAACTGCAGTTACCCTCAAAGTAAGTAATGACTGAGTACAATGTTTCATTCTTGACTTATATATAATAAAGGATTTGAGAAACAAGAGGGGGCAACAGAAACAGTGAGGGTCTTGTAAATGAAAGGTTCAGCTACACTGTAGAATTGACGCAGTTTGTTAGCAGTCAGTCTGTGTGGCTCAATATTATGCATGGGAGTTATAAATTTACAATGTCTTTAGCTTTCATAGCCAAAAAGTGCCAAAGCCCCAAGGAACTACAAATCCCAGGATTCTCTTTAAAGCGATGTTCAAACATTTTTCATATTTTTGTGTTGTCCCTTTACTCTTTGGAATTTGTGATGGTAAAATTCTTTATCTTTATGTCATCTGTGTTTGGAATGTATACATACCATAATATGGTTAGCTGGACTATCTAGCAGCCTTTTCAATATGGGTGTCTTAACATGATAATTCCACTTTGATTTTATCATTTGTGTGTATATTCCTGAATTTTACAAAGTATTTCAGAATGTTTGCCAGAGGGACTCTTCTTTAAACTGATCCTATTGACTGCAAGTATTATTCTGTTCCCATGATGCACACATTCACAGAATGGAGGCATTATTTCTCCTTCACAGTTCACTTAATGTCATCAAATTCCACATTTCTCTTTTTCCTCACACTGCTTTGGGCAGCAGTTGAGGGAACTACATATCTAGTGAGCTTTTGATTTTGAACATCTGCCCTCGTGCCACATAACAATCTGCTCTAATTTGTTCTATTTATATTCTCCTTTCCTGCAAATTGGCACTCAAGGCATCATACTGACAAATTCAAGTATACACATAGTCTCAACACAATTCCAATACATTAGTGTCGGCAATGAAAACACTAATAGCTCAAAATCAAACAAGCAAACATACACATTAAGTGATAAATAAACAGTTGTCTGAATGAATAAATCACTGATTTTATAAATTGACATTTCTGAAAAGGAATTTCCAGAGGTGCAATTACAACTCTAACCTTTGCTTTTTAGCATATGATGTTCCTTAAAACTCTCAATGAATATAGGCTTGATGCTAATAAAAATATTGTGGAAAGTGTCATTACGCCAGGTTTCAAGATTTGAAAAGTCAGAGCACAGTGGGAATGGCCCAAAATGTCCAAGTGAATCATCATGAAGGCATGATGATATCCAAGTAATGCCCTTCTGATATGGTGTATCATTCTTAACTTCTTTTATCCAGATATCAATGTACATCAGGGAATGTTGTTTTGCTAGTAATTTAATTTGCCAAAAAAAAGTGTGGGTGCTGTCTAGAGCATGCAAATGCCTGCCCCCCCAACCCCTCCCCCCTCCAAAACGGGATCTTCAGCTGTCAACATCCTTGCTAGGAACACCCTTATGCTGAGCCTGCCAATTCTCAAGCCCTTCGTCTCTGCATTCATTTTAAATTCCTTTGCCTGTGATAACTGCTCTTTGGCTTTAATCAAATCTCCCATATATATGTTAAAATAGGGGGAAACAATGCTAAAGATGTCCAAAGGGCATTTATCAAAGGATCATGTGGCTATTATTTATTTATTTACCGTATTTATACACCGGCCTTCTCAGCCCGAAGGCAACTCAAGGTGGTTTAGAGTTGGCACAATTCGATGCCTCCAACAACATAAAACAATTAAATACATTCAACATATAGTATAGACCATATAAAACCAATGAAAACATAGGTCCTCAGTGTCTCCTTACTAAAATCATTTTCCAATCGCATTGTCCAGTCATTCTGTGGATCTAGATTTGCCAGTTATTATTTATTTATTATTTATTTATTAACTACATTTCTATACCGCTTTTCTCACCCCTCGGGGGACTCAAAGCGGTTTACAGCATAATAAATGGCAAATTCAATGCCTCATATATATATATAAATATCACATGTCTAAATCAATAACATATAACTGCAGATAAAAACCATTAAAACTTTAAAAACATCAAACAGACATAAGCATGAAACATATTATTGCTGCAATTAACAATGAAGACCCCATCTCTTCCTTCCCCCCCCCCCAACTCCCCAAGTCTCTCTCCATAGCGTTTCAGCCCTTTTTTTATAGCCTCCCTGCTCCCCCCACATCCCAACAGACACAAAGTTATATAGGTACAGATTGAATACAAAATGGGAAGGGTAAAAAAAAAAGTCCTGGGCCTTCTTGGGGGATGGTAAATGTGATGTGAGGTCCTTGGGGTGGGTGGAGGGAGAGTCTTATCTGATGATGGTAGTAGGCTACTGATCAGTTTCGTAGAAGTCCAGAGGAACATAGATTTTATCAGTTGTGGTGTTATAAGTTAGGTGTGAGCTATCACTTGCCAGTAGACTGAGGATGGGGAAGGGCAACGAAGTGCATCTGCCCCTGAGGAGAGTTGGTATGTAGGCTGCACCTTGCACTCTGGAGTAGCTGAAGTCTCCTGGCCTCCTTTTCACCACCTCCTTGCTGGCTGTTGGAGGGAGGGGGTAGCGAGGTGTAGCTGCTGCCAAGGAGGGTCGGTGTGTAGGCTGCGCCCTGCACTATGGAGGAGCTGAAGTCTCCTGGCCTCCTCTTCACCTCCTCCTTGCTGGCTTTTGGAGGGAGGGGGCAGCGAGGTGTAGCTGTTGCCGAGGAGAGTTGGTGTGTAGGCTGCACCTTGCACTCTGGAGTAGCTGAAGTCTCCTGGCCTCCTTTTCACCTTCTCCTCCTGACAGGTAAGCTGGGCCGGAACCATTTAGGGCTGTATAGGCTAAAGCCAGCACTTTGAAAGTCTTTTGAGTTGTTGCCACTGTTCTGTGCCTCCAAGTCATTTTTCACCTATGATGACCTAAAGTGAACCTGTCACAAAGTCTTGGCAAGATCTGTTTGAGGGGCGGTGCCTTTCAGGCTAAGGGAGTGTGACTTAAGATCACTCAGCGAGTTTCCATAACCAAGGACCACATCACATTGGGATATAATCCATTTATATCAGTATGCACCCCGTATTTTTTAGGACTTGATCTATACAATCCTCATCACACCTGAGTATTACGAATCTTATGTTTTGAAAATACTGTGCTTTGATTCTTCACAGCACGGAAGGCTGGCTCCTCCCCATCCATCTACATCACTCTATTACCTTTTTTAAAAAAAGTAATGTTTCTGATGGGCTGTATGCAGATTTGCCTACCACACATAAAAACCGTGCTTCAGCATTTCAAAAAAACACAATTAGAATTCCATCTGCGAATAATCCGTTTCTGTGATGCTTTGCAGATGGATTGTGATGGAATACTGACGGGATGGGACAAATGACATGTGATGGGACCCATCTGAAATCATTGGCAAACAATCTCAGAAACAGAGTATTTCCTAATGTAATAAGGCCTCAAGTGGGCAACCCTATTCTCCAGACTTCTGGGACAGTACTCAAACCAGTGCACCATGCTGGCTCTGTTTGCACTTCCTTATAAACCCTGTGAACTCCTTCCAAAGACTGGGCTGCAATATGTGTCTGTTTTTATTTATTTATTTATTTATTTCATTCACTTATACCCCGCCCTTCTCACCCCTAGGGGGACTCAGGGCGGCTTACATAAAGGGCACAATTAGATGCCCAAATCACACAACAAGTAATCCAAAAAATATAAAATTCAGCAGTTAAGTTAAAGACAACAATACATAATAAAACATAATCCTAAAAACAATCTCATGTCAGAGTCCATATGTCAGAGTCCATACATCCGTTCTATTCCATTTGTCCTTGTCTGTCACCGGTCCTTGATTTAATTATCAGAGTGACCAAAGGCTTGGTCCCACATCCAGGTCTTTAGTTTTTTCCTAAATGCTAGGAGGGAGGTCGCCGATCTAATCTCCCCGGGGAGGGCGTTCCACAGGCGGGGGGCCGCCACTGAGAAGGCCCTGCTCCTCGTCCCCGCCAGCCTCACTTGTGACACTGGCGGGGTCGAGAGCAGGGCCTCCCCAGAAGATCTTAAACTTCGAGGTGGGACGTAGAGGGAGATCCGTTCGGACAAGTACACTGGGCCGGAACCGTATAGGGTTTTATAGGTCAAAACCAGCACTTTGAATTGTGCTCGGAATTGGATCGGCAGCCAGTGGAGCTGACGCAACAGGGGGGTGGTGTGCTCCCTGTACGCCGCTCCGGTGAGCAATCTGGCTGCTTCGCGCTAATTAAATTTCCGAGCAGTCTTCAAAGGCAACCCCACGTAGAGTGCGTTGCAGTAATCCAACCGGATGTGACAAGAGCGTGGACCACCGTGGCCAGATCCGACTTCCCAAGGTACGGGCGCAGCTGGCGCACAAGTTTTAATTGTGCGAAAGCTCTCCCGGCCACTGCTGAAACCTGGGGATCCAGGCTCAGCGGTGAGTCCAGGATTACTCCCAAGCTGCGAACCTGCGTCTTCAGGGGGAGTGTAACCCCGTCTAACACAGGCTGTAACCCTATACCCTGTTCGGCCTTCCGACTGACCAGTAGGACCTCTGTCTTGTCTGGATTCAATTTCAATTTGTTAGCTCTCATCCAGTCCGACACAGCAGCTAAACACCGGTTCAAGGTCTGGACAGCCTCCTTAGTGACAGGTGAGAAGGAGTGACAGATTTGGACGTCATCTGCATAGAGATAGCATCTTAGTCCGAAACTCCGAATGATCTCTCCCAACGGCTTCATGTAGATGTTAAATAACATCGGGGACAAGATTGAACCCTGTGGGACTCCACACAACAACGGTTGTGGGGCCGAACAGGTGTCACCCAGTAACACCTTCTGGGTCCGTCCCTCTAGGAAGGATCGGAGCCACCGCAAGCAGTGCCACCGAGCCCCATATCCATGAGGCGACCCAGAAGGATACCGTGATCGACGGTATCGAAGGCCGCTGAGAGGTCCAGCAGAACCAACAGGGACACACTCCCCCTGTCTAGTTCCTGCGCAGATCATCTACCAAGGCGACCAAGGCTGTCTCAGTTCCATGTCCCGGCCTAAAGCCAGACTGTGCCGGATCTAGATAATCAGTGTCTACCAGGAACCCTTAGAGTTGCGAAGTCACCACACGTTCATGACTTTGCCCATGTAGGGCAGATTGGATACTGGCCGATAGTTGTCGAATTGAGTGGGATCCAGTGATGGTTTCTTCAACAGCGGTTTTATAATAGCCTGTTTTAGGCTCGCTGGAAACTCTCCTTTCTGTAAGGAGGTATTAACCATCACCTTCACCCACCCCGCCAAACCCCCTCTGGCTTCCTTGATCAGCCAGGAAGGGCAGGGGTCTAGGATGCATGTGGTGGGTCGCACTTCTCCAAGGATCCTGTCCACATCCTCAAGCTGAACCAATTGAAACGAATCCAACAAAACTGGACAAGCAGGTGCTCTCGTTACATCCCCAGAAACTGCCGTTAACATGACGTCGAATCCAGACCGAATCCGCTCAATTTTATCCGCGAAGAATCGAGCAAATGCTTCACAGCGAGCCACCGAGTTATCCGAGGCCTCGCTTTTTGGCGGATTTAACAGGCCCCTGACAACTCGAAAAAGCTCAGCTGGACGATTCTTCGCTGATGCAATATTGGCTGTAATGAATGTTTTCTGAGCTGCCTCTATTGCCACACCGTAGGACCTTAAAAAGGTATTCAGGTGTGTTTGGGCTGGATTGGTGGGATTCTGGCGCCACACGCGCTCTAACCTCCTCTTCTTTCGCTTCATTGCTGCCAGCTCCTCAGTGAACCAAGAAGCTGGTTTAGCTCGGTTACTCGAGAGGGGGCGTTCCGGAGCGATAGTGTCAATTGCCCTGGTCAACTCACTATTCCAGCCAGAGACCAGAGCATCGACAGTGTCGCTAGCCAAGAAGGTGGAAAAATCCCCAAGAGCCGTCAGGAAACCATTTGGATCCATCAGTCTCCTGGGGCGGACCATTCTAATGGGTCCACCACCCCTGCGAAGGTTAGAAGGCACAGTTAGTCTAAAACTGATCAGGTGGTGATCGGTCCATGGCAAAGGGGCGATGGTCGGCTCCTCCATTCCGTCACCCTCATCCCATCCCTGAATGAAGACCAAATCCAGGGTGTGTCCGGCACTATGGGTGGGACCAGATATTAGCTGGGACAGGCCCATGGTTGCCATGGCGGCCATGAAGTCCTGAGCTGCTCCTGAGAGAGAGGCCTCGGCATGGATGTTGAAATCTCCCAGGACCAAAAGCCGTTGGAAGTTCAACACCATGTCCGAGACCACTCCCGCTAGCTCAGGTAGGGAGACTGTAGTGCAGCGGGGTGGTCGGTACACTACCAGAATCCCTATCCTGTCCCGGTCACCTATCCTAAAGCCGGCACATTCAAAGGAAGATGATTGTGGGATGGGACACCTGATCAGGGGAATAAACTCCTTGTAGACCACTGCGACTCCGCCTCCCCGCCCTCCAAGCCTTGGTTGGTGCTGAACAGAATAACCTGGTGGACAGAGTTGGGAGAGATTAACCCCTCCCCCCTCGTCCAACCATGTTTCTGTTATACAGGCCAGGTCGGCTTGTTCTTCTTGGATTAGATCTTGTATGATGAAGGTTTTTCCATTTACCGACCTTTTTCTAACAGTAATGCCTTGTAAAAGAGAAAATCATCAGTGGCAATCCGTTAATGCACATATAGACATACTGTGTAATCAGTATTGCCATATACATTTCAGATCAGTATTCAGGAAAATATAAATTGAATTCAGCACTGTGTGGGCTCTTTTAGGAACAGCTGTTTTTCACCTTTATAAATAAAAGACACACTATAAACGTTGAAGCTTTAAAAATAAAAATAAATCTAAAACAAATGTGTGTGATTTTGGTTGTTTTTTAATCATTCAATGTAGTGATGCTATTCCTTGCTTTGGGGGCAGGAGCAAGAACAATATGGGAAAGTTTCAAATTTGGTTTTGTTCTGCTTGATCTTACTGCATTAAAAGTCCAGCAGTAGGACTAAAATAGCTCATGAATTTAAATTTCAAATGCCAACATTCAGAAATTTTAGCAAGTTTCACATTGATCAAGCATTGCATTTGGTTATAGGACAGAGGCTGTTAACAGGGATATATTAGCGACTTTTCCTCCCATTTTAGTGTGGCTCAACCCCCCCACCACCACCACCACCACACACACACCAAATAAATCTAGAAGGAACACAAATCAATATGTGTTTCCTCATGGTTGCAGGCAAGACACCACAGTGCTTTTTCTCCTAGGCATCTGCAAGGTTAGGCCTGACATCTGATGAGATGGAGTCTGTTAATAATTCAGACTCCGAAGTTGTGGGCGCTGATCAATCTTTCTTGCTGCCTGTAGCTATGAAACTTCTATGTCTATAATGTGCATTCCCTTTCCAAGATAGTGTAAGTATACATGGGTTCTAGCTAATAAGATTAGTCTTTTTTTTAGACTTCTATGATATATCTTTTTATTATTATTGTTCACTTTGCCTTGCTTAAGAAAACCTTTCTCCATATGTGAATGCCTCTGTTCCCACAAATTCTAAAGGGGATTCCTTTACTTTGTAATTGGTTGCACCATTATTCCATTAACAGCTGGGTCTCCCTCTGTTTCCTTCTTCCAGCAAATGCCAGATGTGAATGTGACCTGGGATGGTGAGGGCCCCCGGCAGCTGCAGTCTATAGACATCTCTATTGCTGTGGCAACAGACCGAGGTCTCATTACACCGATCATAAAAGATGCTGCAGCTAAGGGAATTCAGGAAATTGCTGCATCTGCAAAGGTAGGGCTCCTATCTAGGCCATAATGGCACTTAGATCTACAAGTATGGCTTATTTCAGAAAAAGACATACAGTTTCTTTTAGATATACTTCAGATTGCCAAAAGCTGGGGGGGGGGGGTGTTGGTGGGGTGTACAATTCCACAGGAATGGCCGAGTTTTTCATTCTGGCAAACATTTGAGGAGTTTAAGTGATATTAAAGTCAACAAATGCTTCTTGTTTCTGACCTATGTTTATGTAACATTTCCAAACAAGTGATTAATTTAAAGTACTGTTGTACAAATTCAGGAATGTACATTCTATTCCTTTTCCTGTTGAGGTTCAACATCATTATTTGCAAAGTTTTACTATAGGAAACAACTTTAATACTCTGTTTAAACTTTTTAAAATGGCCGCATCTAGAATTATCACTGCAAGTTTTTTTTCTGTATTATTATTCCTGCCTTTTGCTATAGCTACCTTTTAAATTGTAGCAAATGGAAGCTAACAGTATGCAAAAATAGATTAAAATGAAATCAAAATATAATTACATGCAAACACTATTGCAAAGATGGGGGTAAACATCAGAACATATTGTGAGATTTTGGAAACTGTGTGATGGATTTAGAGAAACCGCAGTGTCAGGAGAATCGCTCTCAGCTGTAATTGTTACAAATGGCTTTAACAGTTGGCAACAAGGGAAATGTGGAATCTACATTTCACAGTATAAGCAACAAGAGATTTATGATTACATATTAAAATAACCTGGAAATCTGTTCTTTGGGAGAGAGATTTTAAAATGTTTATCTTTTGAAAGGACCTAAGTAGAATACACTTTTAATAGTCTCTCAAAATCTAATAGTTAATTATCTCTTATGCAAGATTCCGAAATCTTCCAAAATCCAAAAATGTCCACATAGGTGATTGAGATAGTGACACCTTTGCTTTCTGTTGGTTCAGTGTACACAAACTTTGTTTCTTTCACAAAATTAACATTCCCTTTAAGGCTAAGTGTGGAAGTTGTATGAGAACCATCAGTGAATTTCTTGTTTAGACTTGGGACCCATCTCAAAGATATATCACACACACACACACACACACACACACATGCAAATACATGTATAGTTATTCCAAAATCTGGGGGGAAAATCCAAAGCCCAAAATCGTTCCGGTCAACAAGCATTCGGAAAAGAGGTACTTAACTTTTTTAAGTTAAGTATCTCTTTTCCGAAATAGGAAAAGAAATAATCAAAGTTGAAGTATTAGATACAGGCCCCAGTTGGACAATATTAAAGAGCTAAAAAACAATTAACCTTCCTGTGCAAGCGCCACCTTCTCTGTTTCCCTCTTGGTGCTCCATACCTGCCGTGAACAATGTACTAATTAACCACAGATCAATATGGATTTACGGGTTCAGGACTGGAAATGAATAAGCAAGGAGAGATTATACACTGCTGTGAATTCTAAATTGATTATGATTGTAGACATTTTTGTAAAAAAATTACCAAATTTTCAATTTTATTTTATATAAATTTTATGGTACTAAACTTTTATACATTTTTAGTTACACATGAAAACTCAAACATCTAAATATTTAAATACACAGAGGCATCTGCATTTTTAAAAAAGATTTGCTGATTTTTGTTCCTCTGGTACGTGTATACAGAAGTTAATGACCTAGCTATTTTAACTCTAATGTACAGCAGGAAGCAGGCATTGTAGTAAGATGTATTAATTTCTGAGTATTTACTAGGCCAATATTTTTTCATAAAGATAATGGATGGATTGCAGAAATCTAAGACTTCCATCTATAACAATGAGCTTTATTTTTAATATCTTTACCACAATTCCGATCCCATCCTAATGCTACTGGGACATCCTTTACTGCCACACAGCTTTCAAAACTAAAAGGCATATTATTACCATAATAGTTATGTATGCCTATCAAGATTAATATTTCTCTGTGTATAAGTGTGTATCATGCCTCCCAGTATGATTATGACCTGAATATAGTTAAAAGCTGGGTCTGGTCAATATCACTATTCCCCTATACACTCAGGTTCTTAGAGAAAATATTATGCATATTGGAATATGATTTTGTACTGTAAGTTAAATAAAGCTAGTGGTTTTTGTTTACAATGTTACTGTCTCAATCTGATGTGAACTAAGTATTTGTCACCCTGGAGTGCTTACATCAAAGGCTCCCATTTTGGCAATATTTTGTCAAGCTGTAAGCAATCTATATTAAGATTCTACATGTCTGGAAAGAGATTTTCAACACTCGAACTGTGAAATTCTCCAAGAGGTCTTTAGGTCTTTTTAGCAAAAAATATTGCTTCCTCAGTCAAAGGATGACTTCAATCCTTGCACAAATTCTGAAAAGACAAGCTTGGGGAACAATTTGACAATGTGAGCTGTGAGGACATGCAGCCTTGAAAGAGACTGCTCCAATTCACTAGTTGCATGGGGCAGTGCTACTTTTGACTTTGGCTTGGTTCCAACTCCACCCATGACCAATGTGCGATTCCTGACCACCAGAATCAGGTTCTTTCAGGTTAGGGATGCAGACTGAGCCACTTTGCCAGTGTGTTGCTTTTGCACTACTGAATATTCCAACCTTGAATTTTCTGGGCTTTGTGTTAGGACAGTAGCATATTTTCAGCTGTTAAATTTGCTTATTTAATTTGTTAAATAAGTCACCAAAGATAAGCTGAGAAAATGAAAAAAAATTCACAGTTGGCTTTTATTTCCTTTTAGTTAAACCAAATATACTACCTTGCAGAAGTAGTCACAAGTATGCCCTTCCTTCCCCCCACCCACTATATTTAGTTTTGTTAAATTCCAGGACTTGAAAAGAATTTAACTGGCATGGCTACCACTTGATGTAGATAAAACACACACCTTCACAGTAAATTTTGTGTACATCAAGTCATAACCATGTCAATTAAATATTTTCCATATCCAGGCTGTAATATAGCAAAGTGTAGGAAAGTAAAATATGTCAGTGTGGATAGATATGAACACATCAGCAAGGTACTGTCAATAATAATAATAATTTTATTTCTTACTCGCCTCTCCTCACGGCTCAAGATGGGTTACAATATTGCTAAAACACATAATCAAAACACATATTCATTTAAAAATTCTCAGTAGAATACACATATTAAAACATATTGACATAAAATACGTATTAAAATACACAAAACAAAAGGTAGACATAGAATGGAAGTTTAAAATTTGTCTGAGTAAGCCTGCTGAAGGAGACAGATCTTCACTTGTGTCTTAAATTGCGAAAGCCGATCTAGCTGTCGGAGCTCTCCTGGCATGTTATTCCATAGTTATAGGGCGGGCTGATGAAAAGGTCGTCTGTGTGACAGTTGCCAGTTGGGTTCTGGCAGGCTGGGGCAGATGCTCTCTGGAGGACCTCAGTGTTCGGGACAGATTGTATGGGAGAAGGCGATCCTGTAGGTAACCTAGACCCAAACCATGTAGAACTTTAAACGTCAATAGCAACACCTTATACTTTGCCTGGAAACTAATTGTCAACCAGTGGAGTGACCTTAGCATAGAGGTGATATGCTCACTCCTAGATGTTCCTGTAACCAGTCTGGTTGCTGTACTTTGAACCAACTGGAGTTTCTGAACTTGGTACAAAGATAACCCAATGTAAAGTGCATTGCAGGAGTCCAACCTTGAGGTTACCAGAGCATGCACTACTATCTTAAGGTCCTCCAAAGCTGATACACCAAACCATAATTGTTTTTGCGCATGCGCTGTAGCATCATTTTGCTTTTTTTGGCTTTTTAAAGTCCCTTCCACTGTGTTTTTCAGTGTTTTTATGAGTGATGGTCATTCATTGGCCTGATAAGTGTATTGTGTCCAAATTTGGTGTCAGTTCGTCCATTGATTTTTGAGTTATGTTAATCCCACAAACTAACATTACATTTTTATTTATATAGAAGATCTGATTGTTCTGATGGCATTTTAAATTATCAGTGACATTTGTTGCTTTAAATGTAGATCCAGACATATCATATGAATAGAATATGTTTTAAATTTTCATTGGTAAGTTGTGATATAAATTTTAATACATCAAAATATGAAAAGTGAAATCACAGATAATACATTTTTTGAGTGTTGTTCCCTCCAACAGAAAATATATAGATATAGATATAGTAGCACTTCTGATTTTTGGGTTGAAAGCGGTTGGGATTTTCTAACATCACTAGATATTTATGGACATTTACAATAACATTAAAGTCATTATTTCAGTGGACAAGGTATTACTTGACTTGAATTACCGATAGTTGCCAAAACATTATTTAAGGAAAATATTATTCAAAGTATGCTGTGACATTTTAAAAGGCTAAGAAATTGCCAGGAAAATCTGTATTATACCCAGATTTGTCTGTTCGCATACTGGAGGCCTGTTTCCAGAAAATAGTTTTATGAACTCCGATGTCAAAATGGAAGAAATCATGAAGGGGAATGAGACTGAAGGACAGAGTTATGATTAAAATATTGGAACAATATTACAATGGAAGAGATAGGAGGTCAACAAATCCACTGTTTGTGCGTGGGGGTTTTTTTTGGGCGGGGGGGGGGTGCTATTTTATCACCTTAGTATGTATCATATTTTAAAGTTGGCCAAAATGTAGCAAACCCATTTATGTATCTCCTTATCCCTTAGTAAAACATTATTTTTTAAAAAAAAGAACTTATCTGAAATCATAACCATTCTTTATTAGACTTCATTTCTAACTGAAATATTGCTGTAAGTACAGGGTGAGGCAGCATAACTTCCTTTTTTAAAATGTGCGCCATTCAGTCGGTTGACATAGTGGAGTGGTAGTATTTTCGTTCGAGAGGCGGGAGTATAAAGTTTTGTTCTGACACAGTTCAGTTGCCATCATGCGGTGGAACAGTGAAGAGCATGCTTTTGCCGTTGAGGCCTACTTTTCGAACAGATTTGGAGTGGCCAGCCCACTCTCCAGATTTGGCCCCTTGTGATTTTTTTCTATGGGGTTTTTTGAAATCCTGTGTTTATGTGAACCATCCAAGGACCCTACAAGATTTGAAGACCAACATCCAGGAAGAAATTGCCAACATAATGCTGGCAAGAGTCATGACAAACACCAGAAATCGTTTTACTCAGTGTATGGAGAATGGAGAATGGGGGATGTCACCTACCTAATTTGATCTTCAAAACTACGTAAAACAAAACTTTAGGTATGCGCCTACATTATAAAAAAATCTGATTCATACAATGGGTTTTATTAAGTTTTGAAAAAAGGAAGTTATGCTGCCTCACCCTTTACAACAAATGTATAAGTATAGTTATTTTTACAAATATAAATGTAAAAAGTCATTCTGATTAAAAACAATTTATGATTGCTTTTACTGTTTTAGGCTCTAGCAAAGAAAGCAAGAGATGGAAAATTGCTTCCAGAAGAATACCAAGGAGGCTCTTTTAGGTATTTTCAATGCATTCTAATTATGGTGCAGTGTGGGATGATTCTTGTTCTAAAGTATTTTTGACTGGAATATTGTCAGGTCTGCTAAATGAAATATTAAACCCCTATCTATACAAGCCAAATGATTCAATTGGACTCTTTTACTTTCTTATTGTAAAGAACCTTCCTGAAAAAATGATGCTAATACTTATGCTGGATACAACTTTTCGGGCATTAGTCTGTCTACTCCCTCCTGCAGCCACTATTCAACAAAAAAATCCTGCTTTGGAATGTGGACTGGGAATCCCTTTGGATTAGTTTGCTTACCACTATGAAAAACTACATCAGGAGTAGCAGAAGAGAAAACTACCAGTTTTACTAGAATTGGATACTATAGTACAGTGTTACATCTTGGTTGCTAGTAATATGCTCATTTTGTAATACAGCATGACTTGTAATTTCATTTACCCACATTTGAAAAAAATATGTTCTCTCTATATTTTCAAGGTTCCTCAGCTCAGTTCTATGGTATTCTTCCTTCCATCTGTCGTTGTCCATAGAGTCATTCTAAATGTCCTAGAAATGTTAGAAAGGTGTTGTCTGAACTCATTTTCCTGGTTCTCCAGCACAGTTCTATGATATGCTTCCACCATTCATTCATTTCAATAGAGGTCACTATTATCTACAATTTCACAGTTCTGCTGTGAGTCTAATAACATATCCCCTGCAGCTATGAGGGAATTGTATTGTAAAAACATTGGTCAAACTAGTTTTATAGCATTTTATTACACTGTCTGTGGACTTTCCATAAGCAATTGATTGACCAGTGTGTGAACCAAATGCTGAACTACCAACACTGTTCATCAAATTAATCTTGGTTCTTTATATTCTTACATCTGCATCAGCCCGTAGCCATTTCCAAGATATCGCTTTGGAGTATTTTGTTCATGCTTACCATTCCTGCCTTTCTTTCTTCTCCCTTTTCCACAACAGCATTTCAAATCTGGGAATGTTTGGCATCAGTAGCTTCATCGCAGTCATAAATCCTCCTCAAGCTGGTATCTTAGCTGTGGGACGAGCTCGGCCAGAACTTTCACTTATGGTGGATGAAGAAGGCAACGAGAAGCTTCATCAACATCAACTTATGACAATTACACTGTCAAGTGACGGCCGAGTAGTGGACGATGAACTAGCCTCAAAATTTTTGGAAAGACTGAAGACTAATTTGGAAAATCCCTCCCATCTTGCCTTGTGTTAAAGTGGTCAAGATTCTGCCTTTATCTTGGTAAACTATGGGAACTGAACTACAGAAGAAGATAAAGTGAGGAAAATAATAGTATTACATGAACAATTAAATAGTTTATTTATTTGAATTAACTTGAAATATTTCTTGGCTACTATATGCTAAAATATTGTTAAACAATTTATAAAACTGTTTAAGAGCATTTGCACAATACACTCAAATTCATAGTGTGGCTGTTTCAGATGTGAGTATTTTGGATAAGACTTTGTGGATTTGTCTACAGTTTTTAAAAGGGAACAAAATCATCCATTTTTTCAGAGCTAAACTTTAATCAGAGGGAAGGCAAAATGTCTTCTTTGTCTAGCCAGCCTTAGAAGTCAGTAAACTATTAGCATCAGTATTACTGCTGCTTCGAAGAGAAAAAGCTGTTCCAATTAAAACAATCAACTATAATAATCCAAGGACTTTGTGAAAAACTTTTTGAGTTGTTTCCTTGCTTATCATAGATGTTTAATGATGTTAAATAGTTATGAGAAGTAAACCTAGCCCAGTGGCCAGGACTAAATTACAAAGTTATGGAAACAGATAGTAGTATTTCAAAACAATTCAGTGACTTAATAACTTTGAAACATACATACACATCAAACTTAAACAAAGCATTTAAATTTGCAATACTTGTCTCCCCATAATTTCCTGATCATTATTACTTTGACCTTTTGACTGCAGCCCTGCCCATAGTTAACATTTTATCAGTCTCCTTGGCATGTATTAGGATCTAGGCAGATTATACAAAATATAACCCTAATTCATACACTTTAAATAACACAATTTCATGGACAGTGGTGTCAGTCTGTGAACTGGATAAATACAGATTTTGTTAGGTGTAATGGGGCTAGTGGAAAGCAACTTCCCATGACAGTCCCATCAACCCAAGGTTCCTCAGCTGAATGGGTCTATGCCTCTGTACTATGACCTAATGTTTTTACAAGTCCTTGACTGTATAATACTTTTAGGAGCTGAAGGTTCTGCTTTGTGGAAGCTAAAGAAGAAGACCACATCTGTCAGCTTTTTTGTACATGCCTGAATCTAGTACTACTCTCAAATCCTCGCTTGAATTGCCTTTTCTGTTCTTTAGCAAGGTGAATCAGATCAGAGAAGGCTTGAAGAAGTAGAATGAGATTTTGATATTTCAAATTACACTTCATCATTTTGTTCATAACATAAGATATATAAACATGTAAGTTAGTTATGCAGATGACATTATCCTAATGTCGGAAGATCCACTGAAGGAATTTCCTGAAGTGATACACCAGGTTAACCAATTTGAACTAGTTGTTGGACTCTCAATTAATTAACACAAAACAAAAATATTAGCTAAATAACAAAGAAAAAGAATAATTTAAATGGAAATTGAAACATGTATTAAGTGAGTGTCAGGAAGTTTTTAGATAATTTTGCCTTTATTTTTTTTAAAAAAACTTTTGAATCCACAATATTGCCAGACATTATCAAATGAAAAGAGAACTCACTACCTATGAGGATGCTTGCCATAGATGCAGGCGAAACGTCAGGAGAAATGCGTCTAGAACATGGCCCTATAGCCCGAAAAAACACACAAGAACCTAGAAAAGAGAACTCTTTTTAAAAACAAATGCTGACAGTATGGTTCTCATGGTGCTAATTGACATATATAACACAATATTTTATTTACCATCTAAAACAGGTTACACTTGAGTGCTTCAAATGAGCTAAATATTCATATATCTTTGTACACAAACAATTTCTGACATGTCAGTTGCTCCTTTGTAGATAATGAAACAAATTAGTATAAATGTAGTTTGATGTGTGATGAATAAACATATATGACTCTTCTTATATATACATTACCAAAGGGAGATACTGCTGTTTCACTGTCTAGGATTTTACAGAGTTTTCAGCCTCTTAAAAAGTCATTCTTATGATGTGATTGTAACAGGAAAGGAACATATGAAGCTATAATGTTATACCTGGAAGTATGACCCATGCAGTTTAATGGCACTTATTTCAGAGTAAATCTGTGTAGGATTGCCCCAGTCAATCCCAGAGTGGTGGGCTCTGCCTGTTGTGGTGCTTCTAATTCATAGTGGAATAGAGAGAAAGCCTTCCAGTTTTCAAAACAATGTACAGTAGAGTCTCACTTATCCAACATAAATGGTCCGGCAGAACATTGGATAAGTGAAAATGTTGGATAATGAGACTATTAAATTTCAAATTACATTATGATTTTACAAATGAAGCACCAAAACATCATATTTTGTAACAAATTGACAGAAAAAGCAGTTCAATACACTGTGATGTTAATGTAGTAATTACTGTATTTATTAATTTAGTACTAAAATATCGCAATGTATTGAAACAGCTGTGGATCCAGGCAGTAGGCAAACGGTGTTGGATAATACAGAACGTTGGATAAGTGAAGGTTGGATAAACAAGACACTACTGTATAAACAATAGGATGATTGTTAGTATTTGAGATGGAATGATGTGTTTCTGACTGAGAAATTTAATACTTCGCCATTGCACGTAGAAGAATATGTCATGTGTAATACAGTAATTGTATTTTAAAGATGGCCAGTCTCTCATGTTCTGGTGACTTGCAGAATATTGTAGGTGTGCCTTTATATGTTTTATGGCTATCTGTAACATTAAAGTTGGGGAATCCTAAGTTAGATTTCCATTGTGCTGAAGAGCAGTGGGTATTCCCATCTAGTCTCACCTCGCCATGGCCCTGCATCAGCCAAGCCAACTTGTTTTGCTCTAAGAAAACTGGAAAAAAGTGGGAAAGCTTTGGTCAATCTGGGCTCAATTTTATGCTAATGCGGGCAGAGCAAAACTTAGTGTCAGATAAGTCTTTGTATTGTCGAAGGCTTTCATGGCCGGAATCACTGGGTTGTTGTAGGTTTTTTCAGGCTATATGGCCATGTTCTAGAGGCATTCTCTCATGACGTTTCACCTGTATCTATGGCAGGCATCCTCAGAGGTAGTGAGGTAGAGACCTCTCTACCTCTGAGGATGCTTGCCATAGATGCAGGTGAAACGTCAGGAGAGAATGCCTCTAGAACATGGCCATATAGCCCGAAAAAACTTACAACAACCCAGATAAGTCTTTGTTTTTAGAGCCTTTTACAATGCACATTTTTGGGAATCCATAGAATGCAAAACAACCTTGGAGATTCATTTTGCTCATTTCTGATCTAGAAGAATTGCAGAAAAGCTAAGAAATCTTCTAGTATCACTGGAGAAATTTAAGCATTTCAGCACCTAAGATGTGTCATAAAAGAAAACAAGCATTCCCCCTTCATAGGACACAATTTTCCCCAGAAAGCACACATATAGAACTTTTTTTCCCTATAAGGGTGTGTGGCTTCAGGTCTACTTCTGTTAAAGGCTCTGGTAAGTTTGGGGGGGGGGGGAGTCAGGAAAGGAATCCAGACAGCGGGGAGGGAAGGAAAACTTGTATTTTTGGGAATGCGGGGTCACATGCACACATGAAGATGTGGTTCTTTTGGCCAGAAATGGGATAAAAGTAGAACTTTTTCTTCCTAGTTTTTCCTCCTTTGTAGCAATTCCCATGTTTTCAGGGAATGTCGTTTGGCCACCCTCTAGTTTGAACTGGGAGCTTCTGAGAAAGGTTCTGTCTGTACGGACCCTAAGTCTCCGAAGCAGCAGAAAGCAAACTTACCCCACTCCTCAATGTGACATCATTTTGAATATTGAAACATGGCTATCATTTCCCCTTTCAGTCTCCATTTTTCCATGCAGCCACTGAGAAGGTCCTCTACCATGTTCCCATCAGAGGTACCTGAAAGGATAATGAGACGGAGAGAAGGGCTTCTCCAGCAGATCTCAAAACACAAGCAGGTTGAATGGCTCATACTGATAGAATACTAAAATAGGATGTGCTCACGCACGTCATATTTTATGCATTTGAAATATATTGAGCATATAATATTAGGGGGAAAATGTACACTTCCTAATAATATTAATTTCTAATTATATTTCCATGATTAAAATAGTCTGCTTTTTTGATCACAGCATATGGAAAGAGTGCTTATAATAGTGGTTAGGTGCCCCGTCTTCCCTAAATTATGCAGCCCTTTGCCTTACATTCCACTCTGTATAGGAAGATTCCCCAACCATAGTAGTATCAGTGGTATGATGGTGATGAAATCTTAAGTAGATTGGGGAAAATGAGTAAAAATTGCATGGCCTGATGTACAAGAACAAAAGTGCTTTTCTTCTCTGATTTGCAGGCAGGAGAATGAAGGTGGAATTATATACTTTCCAACCAAGCCTATATATTTTTTTCTTTTTCTGTTCCTATTGTCCTCTAAATTGATACTCTGTTTTGCTAATAAAAGGCCTTCAGCTCCCTGCCTGACAAGGTACTTTTACGTTTCAGAGTTGGTTGAACATAGTAACCATTAGATCATACATTTTCAGAGACATTCATATTATGATCATTACTCTGAAGATGATACAATGAATAACAAGCTAGCTATCACTCATGGTTAAATGGAGTTGTGTTACTGTTGCCATCACCCAATTTGCAAGATAAAAGAGTCCCACACGGTAAACAAACACATACTTATGTCTCGTGGGAAAAAACTATACATCAATTTGGTTTTGTGCGAAAGATATGGGGGGGATCAGTCAACATTGACTTTAATTGAATTTGCTTGTATGTCTTGCTGTTAGAAGTGTAGAATCAGTGATATGAAAAGAACACCAATTGCTTTCTGTGTCCTGTATAACTCTTTTCATTATTCAAGGATTCAAGAATCCTGTTATTTATTAGCTGTAAGCTAAAGTGTTTTCAGATTTATTAAACTTGCTCCAATTAGTCTGATTAGTGATGGAAGCCAGGAATAGAAAAGTCAGATCACTTTTTTTTTTTGTCATGTCAGGAGTGACTTGAGAAACTGCAAGTCGCTTATGGTGTGAGAGAACTGCCTGTCTGCAAAGACGTTGCCCAGGGGACGCCTGGATGTTTTGATGTTTTATCATCCCTGTTGGAGGCTTCTCTCATGTCCCCACATGAGGAGCTGGAGCGGATAGAGGGAGCTCATCTGTGCTCTCCCCGGATTCGAGCCTGCAACCTGTCCTGCCGGCACTGTTTAACCCTGCCAGCACTGTTTAACCCAGTGTAACACCAGAGGCTCCAGATCACATTAATGGAAGTGATGTGAAAGATTGATGAAGCTATACAAATTTCAGCAATAATTGTAATGTAAGTGAAAAGTACAAGAAAGATATGAGAGCAAAACATACATGGACAAGTGCAATATGAGATATGCAAAATGATTAAAACAAATGAAGAACTAAATTTAGAAACAACTGGAAGTTAACAAATATGGAAGTATGATGTTGATATAAATATGGCAGTAATTTGCATACAAATAATTAAAAATGACCAAGCAGTTCTTAATAAGGTATATTGCAAAATCTGAAACTGAGTTCTCTTAATACACCAAACAAGTTAAAGTTCACTTACAGTGCAAATGCAGTATAGATGTTATGCACCACATTAACTGCCATGGTTCAATTTATATCTCACATCTTCACCTCCCCCATTATGGGACTGGAAGCAGTTTACAATAGGTTAAAAACAATACAGGTCAAAGCTTTCCCTGTTATTTCTACTGGTACCAAAGTTTCTGCTAAAGAACATATCTCTATGTATACCATCAGTGGAACAGAGAGGCAGTCCTAGATAACTTCCTGGCTCTCATATACTTCTTTCCTTAGATGACATTTTCCTTTCCTTTTTGCACTTGAAATTCAGTTCTCTGTTGTCATGTTATAATTCAGAGGAGCAGAAACCTGCAAAATAGTTTCTCATTGTGGGAGGTTATTGCTGCAACCATAGATCTTAGCAATGAACAGTGGTGAAATTCCAGACTTAGGGTCCTTCCACATAGCCCTATATCCCAGAATATCAAGGCAGAAAAATCCCACAATATCTGCTTTGAACTGGGTTGTCTGAGTCGACACTCAGATAATGTGGGGTTTTCTGCCTTTATATTTTGGGATATAAGGCTGTGTGGAAGGGCCCTTAGGAAGCTGCTAGCCTCCTGGAGTATTAAACATCAGAATATGTACTTAACCTAGTTCCTTGTGCTAGAGCTTGACTGAAGCTTTTCTCAGACTCAATTACTTTTCTGGCATCTCAGACACCTGGCAATGAGAACTTTTTTGCTTTCAAGAAAGACCAGTTTGTGAGAGAAGGCTTGCTTCCAATCTGTTTCATGGCTGTCTCAGGAAACATTTGGCTCCAGACATACCTTAACCCCCACCTACTGAAAACCGAGTTACAACCTATGCTTCCATTTAGTATTAAACTTTTCAGATATTCAGATTTGATAGTAAGAATCGCTAATCTAGTCATCTACATGAATAAGCAGAGTAAGACCAGCAGAGGGCATTCTGAGTAGTACAATTATTTTGAGTTTAATTTCTAGTCTTTGCACGTTTCACAGCAGCTACGTCTTAGTTACTACCCATTAGATAAGCCTGTGGCAATTTCACACTTTAATGACCAATCTTGATAAACTAGTGAAGAGCAGAGACATCACACTGGCAACGAAGATCCGCATAGTAAAAGCAATGGTATTACCTGTAGTAACCTATGGATGTAAGAGCTGGACCATAGGGAAGGCTGAGCAAAGGAAGACAGATGCTTTTGAACTGTGGTGTTGGAGGAAAGTTCTGAGAGTGCCTTGGACCGCCAGAAGATCCAACCAATCCATACTTCAGGAAATAAAGCCTGACTGCTCACTGGAGGGGAGGATATTAGAAGCAAAGATGAAGTATTTTGGCCACATCATGAGAAGACAGGAAAGCTTAGAGAAAACAATTATGCTGGGGAAAATGGAAGGAAAAAGGAAGAGGGGCCGACCAAGGGCAAGATGGATGGGTGGTATCCATGAAGTGACTTGCTTGACCTTGAAGGAGCTGGGGGTGGTGACGGCCGACAGGGAGCTCTGGCGTGGGCTGGTCCATGAGGTCACGAAGAGTTGGAAGCGAGTGAATGAATGAGCAACAACAAAAAATTCTACTTCTACTGCTGCATCCTATGGAATTCTGGGATTTGTAGTTTGGGGTTCAAAATTCCACTTCTTACATTGCAGCCCCAAGGATTTCATATGATGGGTAGTTTGAGCAGATGATACCCCTATTAAAACAACTCTACTGGTTGCCGATATGTTTCCAGTCCCAATTCAAAGTGCAGGTTATCACCTACAAAACCCTAAACAGTTTGGGCCCTGCTTGTCTTCATGACTGCATACCCCCTATTACCTGCGCAAATGTTAAGATCTGCTGGGGAGGACCTCCTCGTGGTCCCACCACCGTTGAAAGTGCAGTTGGTGGGGACGAGGGAGACGGCATTCTCGGTTGTGGCCCCCAGGCTTTGGGATGCCCTCCCCAGGGATTAGGCAGAGATTAGGCAGACCTCCACACTATCCTCCTTCTGGAGGGAATTCAAGACTTGGATGTTTAGACAAGCCATTGAGAATGTCTAGCTCCAATGTTTTACAATGAATGACACAGCACTGCAGTTCCATCCCCTGCCCTTGTTCATTAGCTACAACTTGCACTATCCCATTCCCTTGTTCTTGTTTACAGTTGACCGTATTTTATATTATATTGTGTATTTATTGGATG